TTGGTGAGTTCACAACTTAATAATTTATTAACTGATGAAAAACCTCCCTTGAGTCCAACCATATTAGCTCCGCATCAAGTTATTATTCTCAAGTAAATTATATCTTTTCATTTTTCATATCAATAACCCTTCTCCCGAATGTAATTATTGAAATGGTTCAATCCAGGGGAAATTTTCTGCCTGGAAGCCTTAAGCACAATAATAAGTTATAACAAGAACAAAGAAAAATAAATCTAATATTATAAGCTGCAATCAAATTAAATTACATCAAATCCCTAGTATAAAAGTTTAGCTAGACATAGTAATTAAATTAAGATCAATCATACTTGAATCATTCATTATATTTAAAGACAATAATAAAGAAAGAAACAAGATGAAGAGTTAGAATAAAAACTGTATCACAACTATGCTTTGAAGGCTCGTTCTTGATCTAGGTGATGGTTTAGGGTCTTATGGTCGAATCAGTATGCCTATCACGGGCACTGAATGCTTCATTAAGGATTGCAAACTCAATACAAATTAATGCGCAAAATCGGTGCCACTCCGGAAGCACTTAGCAGTTTTAGCCCAATATCTCTCTGTCTGTCGCTTGTCATGCCATTTTGAGGCCATAATATTTCCTCTAAGACATGTAGGAAGCATTGTAGTTAGGACTCCTTTTTCTCTACATTTTTTCCTAAAAATTATGGTCTAGGTCTTGTTTAGGGTGTGTTTAGGAAACTCCCTGAAGTCGGCCACATGTGAGAAAAAAACTTGAATTTGCCGTATTAAATTCACGCTGGTTCCGCCTGCGCAGCACGGCGCGTGCTATTATGGCACAGGGCTGGGTGTGCTTTAGTTCTGGAAGTCTGGCCAGTGAAGCACTGGGCGGGTAAGGTAGCACGGGGACTAGTGAAGCACTGAGGCACAGGCGTGCCACCTTAGCACGGGGGCAAGCGTGCTTTTCTCTGGAAGACTGCCTAGAGCTGCCATGGGCGTGCTATGCTTGACACGCCCTGATCCCATTGTAGCACGGCCGTGCCTTTTGACACACCCTGGCCTTGCTCTCTTCTGTCTTTCCTTTGGTTTCCCTGGCTTCTAGCACGGCTGTGTCTTTTAGCACGGCCCGGGCGTGCTAGAAGCTAAGTGCCTTGTATTATAAAGTTCTTTTATGCGCCAAATTCCTGCAATTTTCTCTTAGATCAAGCAGATTAAAGATCAAGGAAGCTTTTGAACACAATTATACTAAAAGTGATTTAAAGTAATAAAATAATAAAAACTTACTTAAAAGATTCTAATAAAACTATATTAAAAAAAACTATATTAAAAACACTATGAAATTAATACCTATCAAGGGACTAATTATATATTAGTGCAAACCTTGGGATTAGTTGGATAATTATGTAAAACCTGAGGGACTAAATAATAATTTTCCCTTATTATTAATAATAATATTATAATTAGTTTTATGATTGTGCTGATAAGAATTTAAATTTAATAATAAATTTCAGTTGCCTCTTTAATTGGGCACCTTCACGTCCTTTTGCTTTTAAGTTCTTTAATTAGTTGTGTTGATTACATTCACGGTTGGCAATATTGCTATGGATAGGAATTGAATTTACTTCGTGCGGCTGCTAATGCATTTAGAATCATTTAACCCGATGAACATGCATGTGGGTTTCTTATCCTCTGTTTTTCCTCTTGTTGACTAAGTTTTTCCTGTTTATGATAATGCATTGCTAATGGTGGTTTTGTTGCTAGTGGTGGTTTTGCTATTTTAAAAAGCCAAGATGGTGCTTAATGGGATGTGATTCACTAGTTCTTGGACAAATTTTGGCATTGATACTATATTCCCTTTTGCTAGTTTTTCTCTGGATCCCTTTTTTAGTAATGAACATATGTTTTTATCTCTAGTATAAGAATAAATAAGATGTAAAATGGCACATAGTTTATAAATTATTTTTAATTTAATCTTAACTTAGATTATACTTGAACTTGTAAATATTAGTACTATGTGCATTGAAAAACAATGAACCTATTTGTTTGAAGGGAAACAAAATAACTAGTACTAGAAAATATTAGAAGGTGATAAGAATAAATAAGCTTATTAATTCACATATATGGTTTAAATCAAAAAATTCAAAAAATAAAAGTCTATAATTAATCATTAAAGATACCTAATATACAAATGTTTAGGGAAAAAAAAAGCAACTATATTTTAACGATGGTTTAATTTTTTATTATTTAAAAGTATTTTTGAAAAATATAATATGCCACCTATACATTGTTTTAATTTTTTATATGCCACGTGTTATACCACTTGGCAATCCGGTGCCAAAAAATGAATTAAAATAGCCAAAGGCATTTTCAATGTTACAAAATTAACAAAATTAAGGCACCACCAATGAAATTAAGTCTTCAATCGAATGAACTTTAGTTGCTAGTTCCAGCATATGCCCTAAGTTGAGGCACCACCAATGAAATTAAGTCTTCAATCGAATGAACTTTAGTTGCTAGTTCCAGCATATGCCCTAAGTTGAGGCACCACCAATGAAATTAAGTCTTCAATAGAATGAACTTTAGTTGCTAGTTCCAGATAAATTTTTGAAGTTACTAATTTTAAACCAATATTGATTAAACTTCATTTTGATTCTAATTCAAAGCAGACGGTGATGATGTCTATTTATTTGTAAGAGAGGCATAAATTCCATTTGTATGAGCTTTAACTATGTTATGATACATGTATTCAAAATTACTCTTTTTTTATAATTATGAAATAATGCATTTTTTTTTTATTATTGTTGTTATTATTCTTAAATTTTTTTTTTTTAAATGAATGATGCTTGGGTTGGAGGCCTAGTAGTGGCCATTTTGCCTTTGGAGAATGTTGGTATGATATAGAAATGTTTATTGAAGTGTCTTTATATTTGAGATTTGATTGTATTGTGCCGAAGTGCTGTCGAATTTCATAATGAAAAAATCAATATGTTATTAGTACACTTACCTTTATTAGCTAGGGTAAAGGTAATAAATGAACTTAGTGAATAAATTAACTTAGTGATTTTACATTTATATATAGTTACCCTTATTATAGAAATAACCTTAGTAAGTTAGAAGTGTAAATTGAACATTACATTGTGGCATGTATCAGATTGTGGCATGTTTTAAGGATGGTTTAGACTAATGCAATTACATATAATTTGCCCTTTATAAACACAGTGTTAATTAGGTAAGAAAAATGCGAAATAATTGAGATTGGATGTACTGGAGGTTCGAGGTCAATGGGATATTAAGACAAGAGTTCCTGCAAGGATTTGAGGCGTTTATACAGTTTGCAGTTGGTAATCCCTGTTTTATGGATGGTAATAAGTTGAGCTGTCTATGTAATCACAAGAAGTGTCGAAATAGAGCCTTCTTAGACATCGATACAGTGAAACTTCATTTGTGCAAAAATGGGTTCGTGGAAAATTATTATTTGAATAATCATGGTGAACCTCGAGTTGCCAGTGGGTTCAGGCCCACCTCTTATTTCCGGGTAAGTTTAGAAGGTCAGCCTTTATCAATTTCGCATAGTAATCAATGCAATGATATGGTTAATAACGATGCGAGTAGATAGAATGTCATTGGATAATATGGAGGAATCGCCAAAACGTAGCAGCACAACAATTGTTTGACTGCTAAGTGCAACTAACAGTGAACTGTGGCTTGGATGCAAGAATCATTTCAAGTATCTATGTTCTGGTTGTGGGCACGATTTACTACACATGAAAGCGGAAGCACATTTTTCAGAAAGGTGTTACGATTGATTTTGTGCAGAGCAAAGGAAATTGTTGCTTTGAAGGCCATTTCAATGGTTAGTAATTTTTATCGGGACAAAAAAATTAGTTCGGGGATTGGGAAACTACCGGTAGGAAAAGATTGATTGCTGTTCATATATAATTGTATGATATTTTGCGGAGGTGTTGACTCAGAATTCAGAAGAACTGCAAGTTTTGTAATCTTCCAAGATATCAATGGCTGGGGTCAAAGGACTGGTAGAGTACAAAGAGAGGAAGGCTTTCAGGAAGATGTATTATTTTCCCTCTTGTTCCTCGCTTCAAACGGTTATATGCATCTTAAAGGCGACAGTTGAAACATATGGACATGACATGCTTTGCATGAATATGAGGATGATATAATGACTTCATCCGTTAGACTCTTGAAGCGTAGGATAACATTTGATAACATTCATCCTGTGTTTGCCTGCTGCTTATGAGAAAAACGTTGAGATTAGGGCTTTGTACTGATGGGTTTCAGCCGTTTGGCCAGATTAGGACAACCAATATTCATCATGGTCCCGTCATTGTCACACCCATATAATTCTACCACCGTCAATGTGTCATGAACGATTGAAATATATGTTTTTCTGTTGTTGTTAATTGTTCCTGGCCCCCTAACTAAATCTGAACATAAAATTAATGTGTTTTGCAGCCCTTTTGATTGTCGAACTTAATTATTTATGGGAATATGGGGTTGAAACATTCGATATTTCGACCATCAGAATTTCTCATAATGAGGAAGCTGCTTTGCTTTTACCATCAAGTGATTTTTCCAGCAATTTGAATGTGATCTCGGGCGGAGTTATGGGCAGGGCAAAATGATTGGCCCTGTCCTCATTGCATGGGAAACACTAATGCATTTAACACTAAAAAATGGAGGTAAACAATGTTGATTTTGGATTGTTCACCCCCTTTCGCCAAATTCTTACCGGAATCTCACCCTTAGAGGAGAAAATCGACAATGGCTTTAGAAAGAACACGACTTATTGTGAAACCCCTCCGGCCTGGGAAGTCTATAAGGCTGAAATATTACAAGAGAAATTAAAGATCTGGGGCTTCATGAAAGTTACAGAGTTAGGGAAGATGAAGGCAAATGCAAGGGAATTGGCAGAATAGCGAAGGTGGGAAAAAGGAGCATCTTCTGGGATTTTTGCCATACTAGAGTTCATTCTTACCGTCAAACTTGATGGATGCACATAGAAAAAAATGTGTTTGAAAAATCTCGATCAACATTGTCATGAACATTGAAGGGAAAACCAAGGATTAATGCATAAAAGCGAGAGCAGTGACACTGAAGGAATTTTGTCGTCGACCAGAATCGAGGCAATCTGTAACTTATTGGTAAGTTTCCAAAGGCATGTCTATTGTTAGATTAAACCCTTAAAGGCAATTATTTTGTCAAGGAAATTTGTCATCGACCAGAACTCGAGCAATCTGTACTTACTAGTAAGTTTCCTAAGGCATGTTATTCTTTAGATAAACCCCAAAGGCAATTATTGTGCGAATGGGTCTGAGCGTTAAGATTTCTAGATGGATACTGTTCATGCAAAGATTGATCCTTATGGCATTCCGGGAATTATTGCCAAGGAAAATTTGGGAAGCAATGACAGAATGAGTCTCTTTTTCAAGGAATTGACAATGACTATTATCCGATGCAATGATATGAACCAATTAGCGTGAGAAATCCCAGTAGTGATATGCAAAATGGAGTGAATTTTTCCACCCAGCTTCTTTGATTCTATGGAGCATATGCCAGTTCATTTGCCCTATGAATGTCGTATAGCAGGACCGGTACAATATAGATGGATGTATCCATTTGAGAGGTAAATCACTAACATCCCATTCTAATCATTACAACATCAGTGTATTTTGAACTCCATACTTACATAGTGCCATGTACAATGACAGACCACCTGCAGAAAATTAAAAAGAACGTTGCGGCAATAAGGCAAAGGTCGAGGGAATTGATTTGCAATGCATATTTGGTGGAAGAAGCTTTTCACGCTTCTATTCACCACTTACTTTAAACAACATGTTTTCCACCAAGCATCGGAGAGTGCCACGTAACGATGGATGGAGGAAATCGGAATCACAAATCTGAGTTTGGAAGGAATCTAACGAATTTCACGCTATCCTGGGGTATGATTGGTAAATAAAAAAACAAGATGATTGACTGAATGCAGAGATTACCGAGCGGGCTCAAACCTAATATTGTAATTGAATTGCGAAGAGACTTATACACATTGTACAGTAAGTATAAATATTGTTAGACAGTTTAAACCCGGCGGGGGCTGTAGTTAAATCATACTATGCATAGATTTGGTTCGTTGATAAATAGGGAAATATTATCAATCTATTTACGGCTCAAAATCCCAAATTTGACTATACTGGCAAGTTGATGCAAAAACTGGACTCCGAATTTGCAGAATCGGTTCAAATATTATGTAAGTTTTACTTTCAATGTACACAACATGGAATGTACCATTTATTAAATCTCACTCCTTGTCATTACTTATTTCCATAGCTTGAAGCTCGGGAATCGATATTGGTAACAGATTCATTACGGATCTACAAAAGGACCTCTAACCGATTGCTAATGCCTACTCTGGCTACTTTTGTAAAATGGTTTATAAGTTTTCACACTGAGGGTTATGGGCGAAGGCAGAAAGATAATGAAAACAGTTGGTGTTTGCATTAAAGGGATCAAAAAAGGGATCAAACTATAGTGACGTGTCAAATGATTTTTATGGGAAATTGGTTGAGGTTTTGGAGTTAGAATATCCAGGCCTACCAATGAAGTGCACAATCTTGTTCAAATGTGAATGGTTTGATCTTACGCTAAATGTTGGCACGAAGGTTCATCCTAAGTATAATTTGGTAGATATTAATCAAAGAAGAAGATATACAAAGTATGAACTCTTTGTGTTGGCAATGCAAGCTGCACAGGTGTACTTTGTCCCATATCCATCATTTAAACGAGATCGTTGCGATTGGATGGCAGTGTATAAAATAAAGGCTAGATCAGTTGTTCATGCACTTGAAACCAAACAATCTAGCCATTTACAAGAAGTTCGGGTTGATACGCAACGATGCAAGTTGTTGAAATTTTAACGGATAGATTGGATGATGGAAAGCCGATCTTATGTTGAAATAGAGCATCGGATGATGAAGAGAAGAAGATCAAATCCATTGAATGGGACCTCAGAAGACGAATATGAAGAAAGAGGAAGAACGATGAAGAGGAGAAGGGAAAGCAAGATGATATTGAAGACACTTAATACTTAAAGTAGTTTTACTGTTACAAATTGATATATCTAATTAATATTATTAATGAAGAATTTCAATGTTATTAACTTTTTTTACTCATATTTACCACATGTTTTACAATTCATATAATTGTATAAATTCATTTTATCTACGTTCTGATATCTGTAGTACAGATGGCTAGAGGCAGAGCGTTTGATTCCGACGCATCCGGCAGTGGTTTGTGTAGAGGTCGTGGCCCAGGACGCAGTGCCCGTGGACGACGAGGGTCTATCCCTCCTTCTTAAGGTACGTCAGGGCTTCATCCTCTGCTCAGCGACCAGTACTGCCGCCATCACATCCTTCTTTAGGTACGTCTGGGGCTTCATCCTCTGCTCAGCGACAAGTACTGCCGCCATCACACTTCCTTCTGCTCCTTCCTCTTCTACCCTCGTTTCTGGACCAGTATAGTCTCCACCAGCTGCACAGTCACCTACTGTGCAAGGTAATCATAAATGTCATTACTACTGGTCATCTGTCATTTCAATTATATATTAATTATCTGCATTTATAACATTTGTCACTTCTTTTGCAGCTTCATCAGATCCACGTATCAGCCTCGGTTTGGTAGCGGGACAGTAAATACTTATTCACTTTTTCCAAAGGCATATTTTGTTCAGATTGTGATTCTTTCGTCTAATAATATTTCACTTTTATTTTTTTTTCTCAGCATATATCCATCTTCTCGAGCATCGAGGCAAATTATGAGGATAATCAAGCTATAGCTACATAAAGAAGGATACACATGGGATGCCGTACCACAAGAGGTGAGAGACTTTTATTAGGAGGAGTTTTAGGTACGCTTTGGTTTAAGTTATATCATCATTCAATGTTTACAATTCATCAAGATAACTCCATAATATTCAAATGCTATTTTTCATTTTTTACAGAAGCATTTCATATGGGAGGGATGAGGCAATTACGGTTATGCTGAAAGTGGCTTGGGAGAAGTTATGCACTGACTGATATGCTGAATTCACCTATAGGATAAGAAGAAGCGGTAAGAAGCAGCAGTGCGTGTCTCAAGAGATATGGGAGAGCTAGCAAAAGGCTTGGACGGATCCTGCATTCAAGAGAAAGAGGGAGATATTTGCACAAAACAAGCGCAGTGAGACTGGCGTGAGAATGGCAGTGATGGAGCAGGACCTTCTCAACACACAGGCGGATCAATATCTGCTATAGAGACAGCTCGATTATTAGTAAGTCAACTAGTCACAGTGTATGAAACTAATATTATTAATGAAAGGACACTATATGTATTAATATATCATGCATAAAAATTCATTACAGGCTAAACAATTAGGTCGTGAGCCAACACCGATTGAGGTGTTTACATACACTCACATGAAGGACCACGATCAATACGTTGTCAACAGACGTGCGGTGAGCGTCAATGTAAAGAACAATGAATAATATTTACATTTAGCCTCTACTCGTTGCGGAAGATGGTTACAAAGTTCAATATAATAAAGCTTGTAATTGGCATTTGATTTAATAAATTTTTTATTTTCAGTAGAACTATTACTACAGGCTCGTGAGCGTCTTGTATCTTCTCAGACTGATGAATCTGAAGCTCTTCTCAGACTGATGAATCTGAAGCTAAGTCAAGAATTGATGAGGTAGCACTTTATCTCGAGGCTGTAGGGGGCGAGAAGAAGAGGAAGGTATACGGTATTGGGTCTCAGGCATCGCAGAGAAAGAAAGATAACAATACCGACTTAATGAATGGAAAAAGAGGAGATAGAGGGGTGGATTCTTGGTTAGGATAGATGAGAAAAAGTTCAGGAGATGAAAGGGTTCTCATATTGATAAGATGACAATGACAATTGTGATGACAATAGAGATGAGAGAAAGGAGTTAATGGGATGTCTTTAGGATCTGTCTTTTTCGCCCTCCAGCGAGTTCTAGTGGGCAAGCTTAACATCATATCACTCTTCCCTCATCATTGAGTTCTCATCTAGCCTTGTTTTGGTTGATCGATGCACCAGGAGAGCAGATTGAAACTTTTATAGGTTTTGTAGTTTTTCTCTTCGCTTTCTCTAGCTAAGATCATTGTCTTTTGACTAAATCAGAGCTCGATATAGGTATACTTTGACTCACCTTCACCTAATCTACGATTTAAGTTTGTTAATTTCTAGCTGCATAGTTGGAATCAAAAATACCCAAAATGGGTGAATGACTGAATGTTCTTTAGCTGATTCTAGGGAAATGGTTCAATATAAGTGAAATTTAATACAACATTTTATGATCCTTGCATTATAACAAACATTTTGATATGTTATTTTCTCATTTTGCTAAAGTTTTGAGATTCTAGCCAACCTGTACAACGGCAATGACAGTGTCCGATAAAGGAAAGTGAGCAAGATCATTTTTGAGCTCTGAGTTGCACAAAGGGAGAGGATAGAGGATGGTATTGAGGTCATTTAGTGCCTAATAAGCAAAATGGATATGAACAAGTAAAACCCAACCATCCCACGGGGATTTTTAGTTGTTCAAAATATATTTAATTATTAAAAAAATAAGAACTTATTTATCAAATTATTAACTTTTTACATTCATACATCAAAATAAAAAATTTTGTAAAGTTTATAAACTAAAATTGCAATTATCCTAATTGAAAAGGATACCTATGCGTACGTGTCTGAAAGACCAAAAAAAAAAACCCCGAATGAGGTAAGTTGGTGAATTTAATAGGATTGAAGGCTACATATGTAATTGACAGATTGACAAAGGTTAAATAGGGTAAATATGTCGTATATATAAGTTGTTGCTTCTAAGCAAGCATTTCTAGATATCATGTCACGTGGACCACTCTTAATCTCTGTCTACTATTCTAATCAAATATCAAAAAGAGTATTCCTTGAAGGCTAAAGGCAAAAAAGGAAGAAAAAAAAACAAAGTAGAAAAGGAGGACAAGCTACTCTTTTTCTATCATTTCATATATTACTTCCCTTGCAAGAGTTAATTATCAAGAACTAAAGCAACAAACCAATTTTTTAATTAATTTCTCTCTTAAAAATATTAGTGAAATTCAAACATTTTACAAATTTATGAAATTCCTTTAACTATATATTGTTTAGATCATCATACATTAATTTTTCCTTTAAATTATTTAATTTCTTTCTAAAAGTATCCTTCAAATTCATAGATTTTATACTTTTTATCCTAACCAAATTAATGTGAAATTCTATAGATTTTTTATATTCTATCAATCCAAACAACCACTTATTTTCTTTTGAGTATATATATAAACAACCACTTATTTTTCTTTTGAGTATATATATATATATATATATATATATATATATATATATATATTATATATTAAACTAAAATATATAACTAAAAAGCTCATACTACATTCACTCAGTTGTTCAACTAGGTAGATTATAGAAGGCAACAATAACTTCAACTTTACATATACTACTAAAACCCTATAAATATATATATGGCTCCTATCACCACTGTGACATCCCAGACTTGGGGCACTACACCTTAGGCAAATCCCACATCGGCTAAGCATAAGGTGAAAGTAATGTACATAAAGGGTGGCAGGCCTTAGGATGCCAAGACGCGTTTGGGGCTATCAGGCGTGGCTTCGCTGGCCTAGGAACAAAACCGTGCGGGCCCGTGGGCCCAAAGCGGACAATATCTTGATAGGCCTAGGCTGTTACAATTTGGTATCACAGCCAAAGCCTTGTCCCTCTAGCCGATGGTGGGGCAAACCTTAGCGAGGACCCTGAGTCCCTAAGGGGGGTGTATGTGACATCCCAGACTTGGGGCACTACACTTTAGGCAAATCCCACATCGGCTAAGCACAAGGTGGAAGTAATGTACATAAAGGGTGGCAGGCCTTAGGATGCTAAGACGCGTTTTGAGCTATCAGGCATGGTTTCGCTGGCCCAAGAACAAAACCATGCGGGCCCGTGGGCCCAAAGCGGACAATATCTTGGTAGGCCTAGGCTGTTACAACCACCCTCTTCTTCATCCTACTCTCTTCTTTTGATCTTCTCACCAACCCTCAATTCTTAGCATTCCATTCTTTAACTTATCAAGAACCTTCATTAAAATACGCGTTTTGAGCTATCAGGCGTGGTTTCGCTGGCCCAAGAACAAAACTATGCGGGCCCATGGGCCCAAAGCGGATAATATCTTAGTAGGCCTAGGCTGTTACAACCACCTTCTTCTTCTTCCTACTCTCTTCTTTTGCTCTTCTCACCAACCCTCAATTCTTAGCATTCACCAACCCTCAATTCTTAGCATTCCATTCTTTAACTTATCAAGAACCTTCATTAAGATATGGTTTTGCTCTCATGGATTTTCCAAACTTCCCATGATCGTCTCTGCTAATTGTAAGCTTTTTCACTTGGGAACAATCTATTTAGTGCTTTTTTCTTTTTTTCTTTTTCTCTTGTTTATATCTTCTCTTTGTTTATTGAAGTTACAATGAGCAAATCTTGTTATACGAAAGGCTTTGTTTAGATCACTATTTTTGAATAATTTAATTTTTATATTCCATTTTTGTTTGCATTCTGTCATCATCTTTATATATATATATATATATAATATATATATAGATATATATAATATATATATATGTGTGTGTTTGTGGAAGTTTCAAGTTTGTTTGTTCTTGGTGATTTATTAAATACTTGTTTTAAAATATGAATTAGAAAATCAATGGAATTTATCAACAATATTATCCATTGCACAGTGCTTATTCATATCATTTTTCTAAATAATTTGGTTAAAAATAAATTCATTTTTAATTATTAATTTTTTAGAACCGTTTTTTAAAAACTATAAATATATATAGAATTTAAGTGATTATTCTAATCAATAGTCATTCATCATAATTCAACAAAATATATTATATATATATAATATATATATTAAAAAAAGGGCAAAGTATTAGGTGAGGCTAAAGACTTTGTTGATCTTAATAATTTGAGTGATGCTGGTTTAGGCGAATTACATAAAGTGCCATTTATAGGTTTGATATAATATTATATGTTTATGACGAGATTTCACATGTAGCTGAACATTTACATAAATAAATATGAGCACGTTTAGCAGATCATTTATAATTATTTTGTCAATTCACAGTGGTCGAGTAATAGTCAATTTTATTTCCTTTACAAGTATGATCGTGAATATAATTTTTTTTCGTTTCCTTCCTTTGAACTTATCTATATAAGTATGAAAATATTATAACATATATATATTAAAAAAGGGCAAGTATTAGGTGAGGCTAAAGACTTGTTGATAGTTAATAATTGATGCTGGGTTGCAATTACATAATAATATATATATTATATGTTTAGACAGCTTAGTAACATTTTACAAATAATTGCAGTTGAGACATTAAATTGTTATTAAGGGCAAATTTTATTTCTTACAATATGACTTGAATTATTTTTTTTATTTTAACTTATTATTTAAAGAAAATAAAAAGCATAAGAATATTATGATTTATATATATTATTTTATTATTTTTTTGGCTTATACTACTATAATTTTTCTAGCATGAATCCAAATATATAATAACTATTTATTAGTTTTACTAATAATTTATAATAATATAAAAAGTTAACTTGAAAAGTATAAAATTTATAAAAATATTAAATTCAAATATATAAATAATTATTTAAAGTTAAGTTGAAAAGTATAATTTTTGTTATTGAAATTTAAAGTTTCCACAACATAAAATTGTATGAAATGGGATTAATTGAGCGTAAGCCTGTCAATGCTAAAAGATCAGTATTAAATAATTAATCAATTAGTTTGTGGCACTTATATGCCCTTTGTAAATTTCAATGTTGCAAGGAGGGACGATCAACTAGTTGACTATTACCAAGGAATGCATAAATATGTAGTTTTCTAGTTTATACTGTTCAGCATTAATCAGAAAATTTCAACCTAAAAGCTTTTTCTCTCAATATAAATGGTTTGATATGGTTTGCTTACATAAGTGCAATTTCACAATATTATAGAAAAAGCCTATAGATTTGAGGTCTTCAAATGCTTTAAAATTTGCCAGGCATGAGCCCCTAAAATTCAAGAAAAGAAAAAACAAAATGCGAAAGATTGAACTTCGATTTTTCTGTGATTAATGTATGCTAATCACTTTATCAACACTTCACACATCTTCTCCTTCATTCCTATTTTCCAAACGAAGACCAGCATGATTCATGAAAATTTAGCAAAAGAATTTTATAAATGGATTTGTAATTAACAGTTAAAACTTACAAATAAAAATTTTTTTAAGGAAAAGAACGTACTCGACCAAAGTTTTTGAAATCTGCAAGAGTTGATCTGCAAAAATTTACTTATTTACTTTAAAATTTTTATATACTTAAGTTATTAAATATAATAATTTTAATAAGAAAAATATGTAGTTCCATAGAAGTAATAATGTCTGCAAGAAAACAAATACAGAGTTTACTTAAAATTTTATACATTAAATAATTAGTATTATAATTTTAATAAAAAAAAAATATGTAGTTCAGGAAGAATGTAAATAGCTGCAAGAAATTGAAAAAAAAATTTTTTTGACCATTTCTCGATTTGTGCCTGTCAATATTAAAATATTTTGTTATAAAAAAAAAACCAAAAAAATTTTAATAAAAGTTTGGTTTTCTTTTTCTATATAGAAAAAAAATTATAAAAAAAATAGTGCAATTCTCTTTTAAAGAATATTTCTGAAACTTATTTTAAGATGAATTGAAGTAACATTGTAATTGTAGTATTATATTATATTGTGTTATTTGGAAAAAAAATTGAATATCACACGTGTTACTATATTATATTTTGTTATCAATTTAATAGTTTAACTAATATCTACTCATATAATTTTGTTTAATTTTATTTTTTATTATAATTACTATTATTTACCTTAATAGAAATTATTATTTTTATTTTATTTATGAGTAAATATTTTTTATTCTACAATAAAATTAAATTTTATATATTGGTATAAACCTTTCTATTAATTTTTTGATTTATAAACATTTTTATTAATTTTATGGAAAAGTTATAATTAAATACTAGAAATAATACTTGCATTTGCCTTATGAGTTGTCTAAGATATGGCTCTGCTATGTCAATTTCCATTTTGGCATTGTACTTGTATTCTTAGCCTATTTTTTATTACTTTTAAAAAAGTATTTCTTTTCTTCATTTTGAACGCCTGTATAATCTCATTAATTATTTTTTTATGAAAAAAAAAAAACCAAAAGGATAATACACATCAGCTAAAATAAAATTAATTAGTAATTTGCATTCGTTTTTAGTATTTAAAATAACGGCTAATTTTGGATTAACTAAATTCTTTCTAATAACGTTAAAGTAAACTAAATTCTTTCTAATAACGTTAAAGTACATTCTCTCATATTAAGACTTATCTTGTGTTCGCCAAAATTAAGTTTAGTGCTTTGAGACTAAGCTATCTTAGGTTATTGTAAAAGAAAAAATATTAAAATAATATAAATAACAATCCTTATTAAAACATTGTTTTAATTGATATTTAGAATGACATGCAATAATACAAATTAGGATTCCATGCATTTTACTTTAATTTTCTGCATTCCAATAAAACTGGTTTTTGCAAACTGAAGAAGAAAAAGTTATTTTGTTTTGGTGATTTTTGTTTGTAAAAAATCATTATTTTTTACACAAAATTATCACTTTTTACAGAAAAAGATGACTTTTATAGAATCCAAATAAAAATATAAGTTTTGGAATATATTTTCTGTTAAAAATCTTCACTCTAAAAAAATAAAAATAAAAATTCAAAAAAAAAAAAGTAATCAATAAGGTGTGACTTTTTAATTTTATTTTCTATTATTACATCAAATTTCATTTACGGGCCAATTTTTCCAATCACTGACACGTTGTCGTTGAGGTTATCCAGCCTTGGTTTCGTAAATTTCGTTTTGGGTCTTTCTTGCGAGAAATATAGTTGACAGACAAATTAAACACTCCAGCTAAAGCGACTACATAAAAATTCTGAAAGAAAACACTTTGCAATCCAAGAGAGATATGCATCTATGGCCCTCAATGAGAATAAGAGACTCTTTCAAGATCGGATATCTGAAAAAACTGGAATGGAACCTCCAGAGGATGAACAGAGAGAAGAAGCGGTCTCAACAAAGCAGTAGCAACCAAGAGAAACTCTTAGACGATGATACTGTTGAAAAAGTAAACGGTGTCGTTGATGGAAGAGTTTCAGAAGATACATCCCTTTCAAAGATTTCTTGTTTAGTTAAATCTGCTTTGGTTTGCAGAGAAGTTCTCATGGTTCTCACTTGCTGCTACTGTTGTTTCCGCTGTGGAGGTAAGTTGATTTCTTTGCTTCCCTTCTAATTTTTCGTTGCATTTTTATTTGTTTGTTTATGAATTTGTGTTGGAATCGTTGCTCATTGATGTGGGTTTTATTTTTATCCGTTGAGTTTGTATATGTTGATTTTCTGGATTTGGGTTGAGAAAATTCTACGTGGTATTTGCTTGATGGGTCTGTATTATGATTAATTTGGCTTCTAATGTATTTATTTCTTGAATTCTATTTGAATTCAATCGATGACTTACATTATATGACTTTGTACGTCTGTTTCCGTTTTAGGAATAGAATCTTTGGGTTAATTGATGAATTACGTCTGTTTCCTTTAGGAATAGAATCTTTGGGTTAATGATGAATTGGAGGAATAAGTTTGGCGAGGAAGTTTGGCTGTGACTTTGAAGGGAATTAATGTTGATAGTTCGAGCTTAACAAATGGTATCATTTTGTTGTCTTTTGAGTGGGAAGAAAAATTTTCATAAGATGAGCCTTGTGGCCTTCAACTGGGAGTTTTTTGGAATATAATTTGTAACAAAAAGGACGGTAAGGTATTAGTTGCTTTTTCTCTCTGCAATGTCTTCCTACTCCTTGCGTCCTTTTTCTTGTGCATTCATATGCTACCATAAACTCAAGGGAGATTAGGATCATATTAGTAAGTGCATTCATTTCCTAGTAGTCCTCTGAGCAAATAAAAAATGTAGGAAGAAGAGAGAGGGACTCTAAGGCTTCATTTAGCATTTCTATTCCATCTGCTTTTCAATATTTTTTTTTTTTTCACGGAAGGGGAGGTAGAAATGCCTTTTGATATACTTTGGAAAAGCGAGAATGATATTGCTAAAAGCTAGTCAAACCTACCTGTCAATGGGAAAAGCATTTTGCAAATTCAGGTTTATTTGCCAGACATGCTTTCCTATCACCATAAGATTAGATTGTTAGGTGGTACTTGCTTTCTAAAATTGGACTAGAGGTCAAACCGGTCCATGGCCGTTCTACAATTAGATTGAATGAAACAGAGGTGCTTCGTTGCATTTCTTTTGACATCACATGAGTGGAGGGGGGCATTGAGAAGATTATCCTGAAATCAAAATAAATTGGTCGATATAGAGAAGTCCTTATTTATTTTTATATAGTTATGGGTAAAATGGCTATATAGTTATGGGTAAAATGGCTAAAATGCTACATGCTGGTGTGAGCACAGGGTATTGAGTGCATAACTGTATAAAATGCTAAGATGAATACTGGCAACACAAGGTAAGAAACGAGTGCATGTGTGTGAAGATCAAAAATAGAATAGCTATCAAGATGGGATAATGGAGATGAGTGATTGGATACAAATATCAAGGTTGAAGAAAAGGTAAGCCCGGAAGGCCTCCAAGAAATTCCCAACTCATTTACAAAGCTGTAAATGTTGATAAAGAATTTCCTCATTATCTCTATCATTCTTTGGCGGAAAAATGGGTTTAGATAGTAAATGAGTTAGAGATTTCACAGTCCAAGTGTTTAAGTTGAAGATACATCAGGTTAAACCTGTAATTTGACCATATTGGCCACATTAGACAGCTTATATGGATTAAATGTCAGGCCACGTAAGCGGACATGTAGATATATGTAGATTCAATTTTCTCCTATTAAACAACCTGACTGTCCACTCATCAGGAGATACCAAATTGAAAAAAAAAAAATGCAAGTTTAGACACTTAATTATCACTATTTTCCATTATTAGACACTAAAATAGAAGAAAAAACAAATTCATGCACCAAGAATAACATTATCTTTCTTTTTTTTTTTTTTAAAGGAGAATTATATAGTAATTAGATTTTGAATTTTTTCAGTTTTTTTCTATTGAAGTGTTTAAAATATACTTTTTATTAATTAAAAACATTTGGCTGGAAAATTAAAATTGAAAAATTTACTCAAGAGATATTAAGTATAAACATTCATTGAAGTTATTTCTCTTTTTTCATTTTTTTAAAACCTTTTATTATCTCTTCAGAAAAAAAAACTTTTTATTCCTTATACTTTCCTTTCAATTTTCAAGCTAAAATAAAAAAATATGGAGAAAAGAAATAATAAAAGAAGATAATAAGTTAATAACATGAAGAAATAAATAAAGTAAAGAAATGTGGTATATAATAATAATTTCTGATTTTTAAACAAGAAATTCTAATTAAAAACATATAATTGTAAAGAACAAATTATTGCTTATAATAGAATCTGCCTCTAGTTTGTTTGCTCTCTTATTCTCAAAAAAAGAAAAAAACAAAAAAAAAAAAAAAAAAAAAAAAAAAGCATTCATAGATTCAGTAATTTTGAAAAATACAAGGAAAACATCTGCTTATATGCACCACAATACAAAGAAGACGATACTTAATGCTCTTACAAAGCCAAACAAACGACATGTACCTATATAATTTCTAACTGCAATTATTCTGCTTAGTACCAATATTTCATATTTTTATCAAAGATGCCCGGTCCATAAGTGGACATAAAAATCTCAACAAGTAGAGGAAACTGTAAAAATATAAAAACAGTAACGGGAATACTGGCCAACAAAATTATAGGAATGATTAGTTTCAAATCTCCATCTAGCATTATTATAAGAGTAGCACAAAATGATATCATCATGGCTGCAATGGAAAAGAAAAGGGTAGAAAGACCGATGATCATCTTTCTTGGCAATGATTCAAGAAAATCTTCTTCTCCATAACGCGAAGTCAAGACTCCTAAAAACATTAATACTGAAGTTGAGGAGGCAAATAGAGAAATTGCATCAGCTACAATAAAAACCTTGAATGCTTTCTCACGTAAAAATATTGGAAATCCAGTTTCTTGAATATTTCCACCAGGAACAGTAAATACTGTAGTAAACATAATTGTAATGATAAGAGCACCTACGACTGTGGAAGATTTTGCAATCCCTTTCATCCATTTCTCCCCGTCTTCCTTCAATTTCTTATGGCTTTTTGTAAACAATTGCCAAGGATTTTCATCATCTTTGTTGACATACAGTTTCAATGTAGGTTTAACAATACTTTCTACTTCCTGCATTGAAAACAAATACAATAATATTGATTTTAGTACTTCCTGCATTGAAAACAAATACAATAATATTGATTTTAGTGTAAGTCTGAATGATTTTTTTTTTTTTTTTTGATTGCTATTCATTCTTCTCCTCTTATTACCTTATACCATTGCAGTTCTCTTTGCATTTGCAGAGCTGGACTTGAAATATGAGCAAGTCTATTTGGAGATGCCAACATTCCTGCTACATGTAACGTGTTATTATTATTTGTATCGAATCCATAAATCAAGAAATTCTTCCATCCTCCGACTGCATATATAAGGCTGAAAACTTTTTCTTGCCGATGTTGGATAGCATATTCGATTATGCTTCTAAATCTGGTATTTTCCAGTATGAAAATCGAAGGATTGACTTTTAATATTTCAATAACAATTTCGATTGTCCCATGTTCAATTGCAGAGAATAACGCTCTGTCTAATCCTTTTTCTACGATATCTGGAAAATTTGTAATCGAAGTGCCTTCAAATATATAATTTATAATTTGGATAACTGAGCTGTGTGTCAACTTCATATCATAAATTTGCTTAAATCCTTCAATAAAAAGCAAGACACAGATAAGTAAGAATGGCAAATTCAATCAACTTTAATAAGTTCAAGAAATGAAATAAATGAGATTGGAAGTTAGGATGTTACCAAATATTTCTTGGACAATTGAGCCCAGGCTTCGGAGCCCTGCAAAAACTGCAATATTCAAAATTTCATATTTCAATTGTTCTGAAGAGAAAATATTTCAATTATAAGTGGACATGTTAGTTAACAACAAATCATAAATTTCTTTGAAGCGCAAATAGTTCTGGTATAAAATTAAAAATAAATGACAATGCATATTTATATTAATAGCCTTTCGCAACTGAATATTTTTCTTTTGATCACTTAGCACAAGCCAATTAATTTTGTAGTTCATTTCATTTACCTTACCCAATCCAAAATTTAACTCAAAATTTATCTTTTAATATAAAAAATTATATACAAGAAAATTATAAAAATGATCCATTTATACACAGAAGAAAGAATACGAGAAGTGAGAGGTTTCAGATTTAAAATCTTTCAACCACGGTCTATTAGTCCTTCCACTGATTTTTTTTGTTTTTTTAAAAAGAACCACGGTCTATTAGACCTTCTACTGACTTAAAAAAAAAAAAAAAAATTAGACCTTCTTACTGACTTAAAAAAAAAAAAAAAAAAAAAAAAAAAAAAAGAGAACATGAAGGATAGAGAAAACGACGGAAAAAGGAAAAAAAAATTTACGTTAATAAGTATTTTGTAATTAAATTAGTGTCAAAATATGGTTTTTTTTTTTAATGTTTGACTTATTGGTTAAAGTTGAAACTACTTTCTCATATTTTAAGGTACAATAAATTATTTTTATAGTTTTAAAAATGCAAAAGTTTTTAGTTATAAGGCCAAGTAAATATTCTTTTTCTATGCAATAATTTAAACTAATTTCTTTTTCTAGGAGATTTTTGGTAGATGTTGTTTTTATAGTATTTTAATATGATTTTATTAGGATTTTTAGTGTTTTTAATTACTTTAATTAGTTTTATTTATATTTTTATTTATAGAATTATAGTTTCATTGAATCAATATTTCACTTTATTTGTAGGAATTTTACAGGATTTCTCTAGAAAAGCACCCAAAAGTGACTAAAATCTAATTGGGCCGCCGACATTCAGCAAGAAGCATGCCTAGGTCGTGCTACACAGTACCCCCGTGCTACTCTTTAGAATTCAACTTGGGCCAAGATTTCATATTAAGCCCTTGCTGCTTAAATGGATCTGCATGAGAATCTTATGGAACATGCCTTATCAAGCTATTATGGAACGTGCCTTATCAAGCTAGAATCCTATTTAGATACTGGGAGAGTTCTAATTGGGAATAAATACAAAACTCAAATAGTTTCATATCTCTAAAAGATTCTTTTCTCGATAAGGATTCACTTTTCTAAATGAATTCAAAGATATTCCAAAGAGTCTATAAAAAAGACAGAGATTAGCCATCGTTGAGGATTATTCATTGTATATTCCATCTCTTGTTCTATTATTCTCTACATAGTTGCTCTCTTTTTAAAATTTCAAGTATTCAAGTTAATGCCAAGATTCAAGGAAGTCGCTCAAGCCTATTATCTACTAGTTTTTATTTTTAAACTCTCTTCTTGTTTATTATTCTTTATGAAATTATTTACAAGTTTAACTAAGTTTAAATTATTTACTATGTCGAACTAAAACTTTTTACCAGGATAATGATGTAGTTTAAATTCAACTCTAATTTATAATATTAGATTTGATTTTTTTATTCAAGTAAAATTTATTATTGATCTTAATCACCGTCGAGAAAAGGGTTTTTGATATGAATAGGATATGAATAGGATAATAAATTTCTTGGAATATAGGGTAATAAATTTTATTGGGAATAATTAACTTGATGACAAGAGCTAAATGTTGTAACTACGTTCGGGAGTTTCATAAAAAGGTTTTCATAAAATTAAAGACCTCAATTTGTGGATTCCTGAATAATCACAAGAACTTAATGATTTAATCTATGTTTGGTTGCGCCATTGAGAGATGGGTAATTGAAGTAGATTAAAATAGCTAATAAAACATCAAGAAAGCTTATCAGCAACTTTAGGGTTATTTCTTCTTTTTTAATAATTAGAATTCATTATCAAGCTAATAGGATAAATTAGATAGAATTAGGTTAAGTCAAAATCCCTAGTAACATTTAAACCTTTATTTCTTTTCAACAATTACTTGCTTGATTTCTTTCTCATTACTTTATTTTATTTCTTTTATTTTAAATTAATTATTGTCATTTGAATAATGGTAGGTTAACATAATCTTAGTACTTGGTATGCAATCCTTGTGAGAACGATACTCCACTTATTCTTTATTACTTGTTTGTGATTTCATGTACTTGAAAATTTTAATTGTTAGGTTTATGGCGCTTTGCAGGGGATTGACATTAGCAATATAAATACCAATTAACCTATTATTAATTTAAATATTTTTTATTTTAGTTTTTTTGTTTATTAATTGAAATATTTGTTTATATTTATTTGTAGTTTTTCTTTCTTTTATTAATTTTTTACTTTTGTTATTTTTTTTGTGAATTAATTTTTGAAATGTTTCATCAAACAAAAGTAGTCGCAAGTTTTAGTCAACAATATTCGGAACCATTTTATGCCGCTTGGGCAACATTTAATGATTTGTTGAAGAGATTTTCTTATCATAATTACACATGTAAGTGTCTCAATTTTATATTCTACTTTGCATTAGATGAACAAACAAGAAGTTGGGTAGATATTGAATTTTCGGCAACCGTTATTCATCTTTTAGAAAGTAGCTATGAAGATATACTTTATATGTTAAATGATATGATGGATTTTGAATACCGTTGGCATTGTGATTATTTTTTGTAGGGTTGGGATCACCAATACCCCTCAAATTTTGAGGATGAAAAGAAAAAGAAGAATTTAGAGGATTTGATTGCTGCCTCACTAAATCTTACATGGAATTCATAAATGAAACTCATGAGAGTTTTAAGATTCAACAAGAGATGATCAAGAATTTGGAGGTACGACTAGAGCAATTGGAAACAATGGTAGCTAATAAATATCAAGATGACGAGTGCAAGTTAGATTATGAGAAAACTTCATGGAAAATTGAAAACTTCATGGAAAATTGCAACTTTAGAAGAATTAAATCCTACGTGTGGAGAATGCAATTCCTTTGAAGACAGATTAAGTCTCACTTTTTTGTTTTGAGATACGACTGTTAATGATAATGAAGAAAATGAGGTACAACTAGAAGAGGCATTTGAAGATATTTTAAACGAAGACAAATAGAAAGCAATATTGATGGATGAGGAAATAACTGAGAATATTAAGTTGAGCTCATAAATGATTTTTATACATACATCACCGAAAGATTTTTTTTTTTCGAATGATATCACATTTAATAAATTGTGTTCTCCATGATCTAATACAGTTCTTTCTCAAATTATCATTTAAAGCTAGATGCTGTTGACAAGAGGAGCATAATTTTTTCTAAAGTAGCCAATTTTGAGAGCGTTTCCAATCAAGATCCATGTTTGATGTTACATGATATATATTATGGGTGAAATCCGTTATTTAATGAACTTATCAAAAGTCGAGTTTAAAGACTTTAAACAAAAACGATAATGGGAGGTAACTCATATTTCTTTCTCTTTTTAGTTTTAATTTCATTTTTTTCTCTTTTGTTTTTTGAGTATTAAGTTAGAAAATTTTAAATTTTTAGTTAGTCTTTTAATAAATCCAACTTGAACTAAATTTTTGCAGGTGGAATGGGCTAAAATCAGAGTTGTACGGCTTGGTGTGCTAATTAGCACATCTATACTAATTTTTCCAGCTCAAGGATGTAAAACTTCCAGTGTGTTGTTACACAGGCTGGCCGTGCTCAGTTGCACTGCCGTGCAACTTAAACTGAAAAAAGATTTTCAAGGCGCAGCTGAACCGCGCACAAGGACACGGCCTTGTCACTGCCGATTTGCATATTATGAGGCTGTCTATATTTATATAGTCTGACCATGCCTCAAGTGGAGCCCATGATCCTTTTGTTCTTTTTTTTTTCCTTTTTGTTCTTTTTTTTTTTTTTTTTTATGCTCGTTTAATAGCACCTCAACATTTTCCTTTTATATATATATATATATATATATATATAGTATATTAGTAATATATATTATATATATTATATTGTTTTCAAACCATAAAAAAAAAACAGAAGTGGACACACTAGGTCGGTGTGCCATATATAATATATATAATTTTTTTCTATATTTTAAATACTTTTAATTTTTTTTCTTTAAACCATTATTTTTACCATAAAAAAAAACAGAAAGTGGACACACTAGGTCGTGTGCCTATATATATATATATATAATTTTATTATTTTAAATTACTTTTATTTTTTTCTTTAACCATTATTTTTTTTTTCATTTTTTTTATTATCATGGAACATGCCTTATCAAGCTAGAATCCTATTTAGACATTAAGAGTTCTTATTGAGAAAAAATACAAAACCTTAGTAGTTTTTTATCTCTAAAAGATTTATTTTTAAATAAAGATTCACTTTCTTAAATGAATTCGAAGATATTTTAGAGAGTCTATAAAAAGAGAGAGATCAGCCATCATTCTATCTCTTATTTTATTGTTCTCTATATAGTTGCTCTCTTTTTAAGATTCAAGGAAGCTGCTCAAGCTTATCGTCGATTAGTTTTAATTTCTAAACTCTTTTCTTGTTTATTATTCTTTATAAGATTGTTTTAAATTTAATTAAGTTTAAATTATTTCCTATGTCGAACTAAAACTTTTTAAGAGAAATATGATATAGTTTAAATTTAATTTCAATTTATAATATTAGATTTAATTTTCTTTATTGAAATAAAATTTACCAGATCGTGCACTTGCGAATTTGAAAATTAATTTTTTAAAATTATTTTCTAGGTTCTCAACATATCAATTATAAGACTATTTATTTTCAAAAAGTAACTATAGCCTGTAAAATATTTTTATTTCTATTGATTTTTTGAAGTCGAAGGCAAGAAATCATACCGCTTAGTAAAACGTTGCTCCCATTCAATTGGCCACTTTGCTCAATCATTATGTTAACGTCTCTAGAAAAGACAGGTACTTGCACTTGAATACCTTCAAGGATAATAAACTCGTTAAATAACTTTTTCAAAATATATTTCATTCTATTAATTAGCAAAATGAATAGTACAAACATCAATTAATGTACTAACCCGAGTATATCCACCGTTTCCAAGAGGGTAAACGGCTGCTACTAGGAAATAATTCAGACATGAACGATAATTCAATAAGAGGGTTAGTGTTGAAATGTGTTTTTGTAACGGCCAACATTGGGCAACGCTGGATCAAATCCAGTGAAATCTCTTGCATTTGTCAAAAGAAACAAAACAAGTGGAGGAATAGAATGAGAAATTAGTAAAAAGACTAAAATACCTCTATCAATAAATTTATTATAAATTAATTTTTTTTCAATTAATATTTTACTATAGATTAAAATTCAATACATTTCTTTTCTTTTTTCTTTTTACCAAGTTTCAGTATAAAAAATCACTTAGTCTGTCATTAACGGGAACATGCTGTAAGAAAATGTTACTATCGAAGTATGTGGGATTAAATATTAAGTAAATTACATGTAAAGAGGAAGGTAAGCTAATTAAAATGACTTAAATCATTTTATGTTAAAGATAAACCCAATTCATTATGAGCATACTCTTAGGGCTCAGATTCTTAACATTTAGACTGTGTTTGGCAATAATGTTTTAAGTAGTTTTTTATAGTGTTCGGTAACATAGCATTTTGAACTAGTTTTTAGAGGTTAAAACATGGTTTTATAAAAAGTTAAAACATCTAACAACTATCAAAATAACTACTTTTGCCGAACAGACGCTTAGCCTATATTTAAAGTGAATTTAATAATTAATCAAAATTTTGAAACTCATTATTTGAAATGATATTCTTTAGCCAATAAAATAAAGGAAGAGATATTCTTACCAAACATTTTGTTGAAAAAAGACGAGTGGAGAAGCAGAGCTCCAAAAGTACCATTCTCGGGAAGTAGCAATTCAAATGGAGTCTTGGAATATAAAAACCGAGTTAGCTCTCTAAAGCCTTTTCCGCATGCAGTGATGACAGGTAATTCTGTGCCTAGTGGTACAGTAACTAAATTATTGTTCTTTTTGAATAGCAAATCCACTGTCCTCATGCATCCATTACTAACAGCAATAAAGAAAGCAGTGGTCTTTCTATCATCCAGTATTTGTAAGTCTTCGACTGACATTGAATTCACGAGCTCTTTCACAATATTTTCTTTGTCGCTTATAGTCGCTAGATGAAGAGCTGTCAAGCCACCCAATGCTATCTTTTTGTTTATTGCATCTGGATGAGACTTAAGGAATCCCTTAACACCATTCAAATCCCCTTTTTCTATGACTCGGCACAGAGGTAGAAACCTTTTGTATGGATCCTCCTTCCCTACAAATTTTAATTAGTGACGTACTTCATTAAGATACTTACATGCAAATACTGCAATTCCTACTTCAATATTGACTTAATTTTATGACCTTTTGTATTATTTATTTATTTTGTTTTTATGTTTGAATCTCCTTTTGCAAATACATATGAGAATGTTAGGTAAGTCCTCTATCTCTCCATGTTAAGATAAATATGCAATATCCATATTTAAGAAGTAGGTCAAGTGTTAAGGCATGCATGCTAGAGTTTAGTCACAATCTCTGCAAAGTTAGGGTTTGATACTTGCGAAAAACACTTATGGAGAGAGAAAAAACGAACTCCAATTTGAGATTATTCTTATTAATTAAGAAAAATAAGATAATATAAACTTTATTTCTATTCAAGAGAAACTAACTACAAAGAGACACTCTTTTATTGAAATTTTACAAATACCAAACAAGAATAAGACTACATACAGAAATGAGCAAGTCTGTATAAATATAAAAGTAATAATCTTCCATTAAATTTAAACTACCTAAACGTAGACATTAGATCTAAAGATATCTAATGATTTGCTACTTATAAAACTGGTAATTCCTTATTGATGTATTATTTAATATATTTATTATTATAATAAAAAATTTATTTTATCGATCTAAAAGATATTAATGCGAGAAGTTCATCAACAAGAAAAATATCAAATATCCTTTTCATAAATAATTAAAATATTAAATTTAAAAATTATTGATCTAATATTTGCCTTCTAAAATGAAATAAAAAAATATATTTGCTGTATAAGATCATTACGTAAATAATATTTTAAATTTATTGTGTTGTTGATCATAATATAATTTTTATATACTCCTACATTTTTAATTATAATGTATACATAACTCAACTTTTTTTACTAAAATTATTTTATAATTTATGTAATTGTAATTGTTTAATTTGAATTTTATTTGTGATCTACGAAAAACAATTCAAAGCTTAATTTTTTAAAATTATTTATTATAAGTTTGACTTTATATAAAAAAAAGTTTATCCTCTATTAGATTTCAAAACAGTAATAATAACAGGATTAACCGAACACATCAATAATAATTGCATTATCCGAATACAAATTTAAAATATAATGGTTGATAATCAAATTTATAGTGCTCACTTTAATTTTTAATTTTAAAATTTAATATTTGTACTTTTTAAAATTTTATTGTAAAATGCATAAAAGACATAACCAATTGCTTGAAATATAAAACTTAGTTTCGTATTAGAATTAATCATAAATTATATGAACCATACTATAAATTTTTTTTTAATATGGATTAAGATCGTTTGTATATTTTTATAAAATACTTATCTTAAAATGTCATTTATTGTGTTTAAAATAATTTCAAATACCCTATTATTTATATTAAAATCATGTTTTAATATTCCACTTTCACTTGCAATCAATAGAAATATTTCATATTAATTTAGTATTATGCGAAAAAAAAATCTTAGAAAATTACATTGCATTTTAGGGGGAAAAAGGATTTTCTAAAAGCTTAAAAAAATTTCAAAAAGAAAAAAAAAATATAACCTTATGACTTACCTTGCAAGTTAGCATGTTCAAATGGCATATAAAAAATAGTTTCTCTATCCGTACAGAATTTTTGAGTCCTGTGTTTTAGTAAAAGCCCCAAATTTTATTGAATAAAAAATACAAGCCTTCTTTAAGATATATATAGTTATCATAATTTACGTTATAGACATGTTTTAACTATATGTATGTATATATATAAGAATTCAATTACCTGCAGGATCTTGATTTACTGATTCCTTTTTCTCGTGCATTTTTGCCAAAGTCTCCCAACAAACTTTAGCAGAGTCGGTTTCTCCGATCTGAGAAAGTTTTTCGAACGTGCAAGAAATTTGAATGGCATGTAAAGCAGCTGCATTCTTTTTCCTCCAAGCTTTAAATTCAGCTTCAGCCTCTTCTCGACTTGGAGGTTCATTGGTTTCTTCAATAACATCCCACAGATCGTTCGCTAACAAATAGTTCCTAATGCAAGCACTCCAGTTTTGATAATTATTGTCAGCTAAAAATTCAGGAACTATATAATTAACATCCCATAGATCGGTCGCTATCAAATAGTTCTTAATGCAAGCACTCCAGTTTTGATAATTATTGTCAGCTAAAAATTCAGGAACTATATAATTGACGGCCATGGATAATCTGTCAAGACAGTATAGAAAATGACAAACAATGAATTATTCCAAATGCAATCAATTTGAAAGAAATAATAACCTTGAAATGAAATAAAATAAAAAAAAACCTTACTTTTTGGAAGTTTAATTAGGCTCCTCCAAATTATTCTTCTTCAACCTCTTAAGTTTTGAATTGAGCAGCATTTGAATTTATGGAAATTAAATGGAAAAGTTTATGACGTACAAAAGTCAGACCATAACATACAAAGAAGTGATACCAACTACAAACCAAAAGTCTTTAATAATAATAATAATAATAATAAAATATTATCAACTATACCCATTATTACTTATTTTTATGGTCGGTGGGGCTGGTTCATTTGTGTCGGTGGGCGCTTGGTTCATTAATTGACCAACCTAATCAAATTGATAATAATTTCTGAACGGTGCCTAATAATAATAATAATAATAAAATATTATCAACTATACCCATTATTACTTATTTTTATGGTCGGTGGGGCTGGTTCATTAATTTGACCAACCTATGCAAATTGATAAAATTCTGAACGTGCCAAAGATTGGTGAGGGAATTATATAAAAATAACTCTATTTAGGTTCGCCATAAAAAATTAGAGAATATTTAAAAAAAATTTAAAATTTAAATATTTATGAAAAATAATTTTTAGAAAAAACTTTAAGAAAAAAACTAATAAAAAGCTTAACTTTAATTTATTTGTTTTAAAAAAAGGCTTGAACTTTTTTTTTTAGAAAAAGCCTTGAACTTAATTTTTTTCAGAACGAAAACAGGTATTTATAGTAAATTCAAAAATTAACTTTCCACAAATACTCTTAAAATTAACCGTTATATAATTGTTAGGATGGTTAATTAAAAAATTTTACAAAAATATTTGAAAAAATAAAAAAAAATTTGTTGGAATCAGGTGGAACTGTCGATTCTAACCGGTTCAAAAAAAAGCTCATTCCAGCCAGTTTCGAGCAGTTATAGAACTATTGATTCACAGTGTCTTAAAAGTTAAAACCGAAATCAGACGGCAGACCTCACTTCTAATTCCGATTTTACGCGATTTCGATTCCTTATAGTTTTGATTCCGGTTCCAATTTCCACCGGTTCCAAATTCACGATTTCTTCAATTTCAAAAATCGTGAAATGATGACCCTGAACTCTATTCATACGAGAAGGTGGAGGATAGAGAAGTGCTTAGCGTTTGACTTTTTAGGCTAACGAAAAAATGTTAGGAAAAGAAAAAGAAAATTGCCCTGACTGGATCAAGGTTGGACTGGGTTGAACCAGTTCAACTGGATTTTCTATTTTTTTTTTTTGCATAATATTATATTGCCCCCCTAAACTTTTATAAAAAAAAGTCTGATTTAGTACATAAAATTTAGAATGACCTTATTGACTATTGGATTTTATTTTTTATAATCTATACACATCTAAAAAAAAATCTGAAATACATGCGCGATGAAGCGTGTTAAGTGACTTGAAAATGTCATACATGTCACTTTATATGTCATATCATCAAAGTTGGTCAAAAATTTATGTGCCATGTCATCAAAGTTGGTCAAAAGAAAAGAGGTTAGGTTAATTGAGCTATGTACAGCATATGAAGTGGACGAGGTTTGGGCTTCGTGAGGTAAGCTACTCAAAGTCCACCTTCAAAAGTAATTGTCGATATTAAAGATACCAGAGTTAATTTTTGAGAAAAAAATATTAAAAATGGAAAATGGCAAAAACAAAACAGTAATAGTTGTTAATCGCAATTGAAGAGATGAAATCAAACATGCTATAAAAAAGCTCTTTGTACAAATCCAAGCAAGCAGTCCGCTCTATATCTGTCTCCTTAATTCAAATTGCCATCAATAATTTCTACCGAAGTCAACTTCTTTTCTTTTTTTGGTTAGACTTACGATGAATAAAAAACGAAGGATTCGTAAATCCACAATGTCCCCTTGAAGTTTTGCTTCTTCTTAGAGACTATCGATTGAACGATAATGAAAAAAGACAAAATAAAAATAAAATCGACAATGAGCAAGATTAGAAATTTTGAAAATAGAGTTGTAGGCATACTTAGAAAGTTTTAGGAAAAAGAAACTGAGAAAGAAGGGATGTTGAATCGAACGAGGTAAGATGGCATCGAGCATGGAAATATAATTGCCATTTGAATTACTATTAATCCACGTCATCATATGTGTGATTTACCCAATACTTTTTACTCTGTTCAGATGTGTATAGATTACAAAAAATATAATGTAGAGGGCTACAAGGTCACTTTGAAAGTAAAGGGTGCTAGAAGACTTTTTAATAAAAGTTAAATGGGCAATTTATGTATTCGGTCTAATTTTTGAATTTTTAATATTTTATATAAGTAGATATATACATTGTTTAAGCGCAACAAAATTATTTTCACAATAATAAATATATATAATATATCATTCTCGTCAAATATTGATCTTGTATAATAAAATAATATATATATATAAATATAGAAAAATTTGAACTAATAATTATCAAAATTTTAAATCATATAATAATTAAATACTTAAAAATTCAAATCGCACAGTTCAATTTAGGTTGAAAACTCAAATTTAAGTTCATCAAACACACAAATCATACCAAATACATATAAAAAAATAAGACCACCTTTACTTAAATAACAACATATTTTTATAAAAAATCCGATTTTTATCAATCATCCAATTCGGTTTTTCAAAAAATTTGATTTTTCTAAAAATCGAGCCAACTTCCGAACCAGACAACGGGCTGGTTTCCATTTTAACCGATTTGACTGGCCGGTCTAGTCCGATTCCAATGACACTAGGAATTTGTAAAGAATAATTTGATAAAGATAAATGAGAATTGCAGGTTCCAATTATAAAAGTCGGTTAGTTTAATTACTGACTTGAATTGAAAAGGGATAATTGCAATTTTGGTGTATAAATTTTGCAAAACTTTCTATTTTGGTGTATGAGTAGAAAAAAAATTAACAATTTGATAAATAGACTCTTCATTTTGTAACAATTGCGTATATTTTGCACATTGGACAGTTGAAATCTCTTTATGATATCTGGGTCCCACTTATTCATAGATTTTTTACTTCTTAAGCGTGAAATAAGATTCGACGCGGATTAAAATCTCTGTCTCTCCCCGGTTGAGAATAAACAAATTAAAAGAAAAAAATTTCAAACTCTGTGACCGAGTTAGCGAGTCACGGACAGTGAGTGACAGTGACATGGATGATGGGAATAGAGACTAAGGTAGAAATAAAGAAAAAGGTAGGAAAAGAGATAGAAATGGAGAGGGCTTTTCAATGAAGAGAAGAATGAATGATATCTTGGATGAGTTTGGATGGCTAGATAGGAGGAGACCTCAAGGCCAAGTTGATTTATTTTCTATGAATTCACGGGTAAGCAAGTGATTTGATAGAGATGAGGAGAAATTTATTTTTCAGAGAAAGAAAGATAACAATATCGACTTAATGAATGGAAAAAGAGGAGATAGAGGGGTGGATTCAGGGTTAGGAACGATGAGAAAAGGTTAAGGAGACAAAAGGGTTCTCATATTGATAGGATGACAAGGACAATTGTGATGACAACGGAGATGAGAGAAAGGAGTTAATGGGTTGTCTTTAGGATTTGGCTTTTCCGGCCTCCAGCGAGTTCTAGTGGGTAAGCTTAATATCAAATCGCTCTTCCCTCATCGCTGAGTTGCTATCTAGCCTTCTTTTGGTTGATCGATGCACCTGGAGAGCAGATTGAAACTTCAAAGGTCCTATAGTTTTCCTCTTTGCTTTTTCCAGCTAAGATCGTTGTCTTCTAACTAAATCAGAGCTCGATATAGGTATAATTTGACTCACCTTCACCTAATCTAAGATTTAAGTTTATTAATTTCTAGTTGCATAGTTGGAATCAAAAATACCCAAAATGGGTGAATGACTGAATGTTCTTTGGTCGATTCTAGCGAAATGGTTCAATATATGTGAAAATTAATACAACATTTATGATCCTTGCATTATAACAAACATTTTGATATGTTATTTTCTCATTTTGCTGAAGTTTTGAGATTCTGGCCAACCTGTACAATGGCAATGACAGTGTCTCCGATGAAGGAAAGTGAGCAATACCATTTTCGAGCTCTGAATTGCACAAAGGGAGAGGATAGAGGATGGTATTGAGGTCATCTCAACCCCTTTGAATTTTTAGTCCTTGTGGCACTCCACGTAGGATCTTATTTAGTGCCTAAGAAGCAAAAAGCATATGAACAAGTGAAACCCAACCATCCCACAGGGATTTTGGATTATTTACATGTACAAAATACGTTTAATTATTAAAAAAAAAAGAATTTATTTATCAGATTATTAACTTTTTACGTTCATACATCAAATAAAAACTTTTGTAAATCTTATAAACTAAAATTGTAATTATCCTAATTGAAAAGGATACCTATGCATACGTGTTTGTAGGGGTGGCCACGGTTCTGGAACCGAACTGAAAATTAACGGTTTCAGTTACGGTTTGGAACCGAACGGTTTCGGTTTCGGTTTTGATTCCTCAATGGTTCCAAAATCGACGGTTCAGGCGGATTCTTCGACCGATTTTCCGACGGTTCCGGCCGGTTTTAGATGGAACTAGAACTGTCGGTTCCGACTGAAGTTGAAACCGCTGGTTCACGGTTCCAAAACTGGTGGAACCGGAACCAAACCGGTTTGGACTGGTTTCAGTTTCGGTTCAGACCGGTTCCGGTTCCCACCGGTTCGGAACCGATGGTTCTGGTTCCGAAAACCGGATTTTGGCCACCCTATGTGTCTGAAAGACAAAAAAAAAAAATAATAATAAATAAATACCGGCCGGATTTCCTTCGACCGATTTTCGACGGTTTCCGGCCGGTTATTAGATTGAACTAGAACTGTTTCGTTCCGGACTGGAGTTGAAACCGGCCTGGTTCACTGGTTCGTCAAAACTGGTGCGAATCCGGAACCAAACCGGTTTGGACGTTTCAGTTTTCGGTTCAGCCGGTTCCGGTTCCCACCGGTTCGGAACCGATATGGTTCTGGTTCCGAAAACCGGATTTTGGCCACCCTATGTGTCTGAAAGACAAAAAAAAAAAATAATAATAAATAAATACCAAATGAGGTAAGTTGGTGAATTTAATAGGATTGAAGGCTAAATATGTAATTTTCGGATTGACAAAGGTTCAATAGGTTTAATGTGTTATATATATAAGTTGTTGCTTGGAAGCAAGCATTTCTAGATATCATGTCACGTGGACCACTCTTAATCTCTGTCTTCTATTCTAATCAAATATCAGAAAGATTATTCCCTAAAAAAAAAAAACAAAAGCAAAAGTAGAAAAGGAGGACAAACTACTTGCTTCTATTATTTCATGGATTACTTCCCTTGCAAGAGTTAATTATCAAGAACTAAAGCAACACACCAATTTTTTAATTATTAGTGAAATTTCAATGATGAAATTCAAACATTTTACGAATTTATGAAATTCCTTTTAATTATATAATTGTTTAGTTGAGAAAAAGATCACCATACATCAAATTAACAAATTTTATATTTTATGAATGATAGAATTTAAATTATTTAATTTCTTTCCAAAAGTATCCTTCAAATCCATAGATTTTATACTTTTTATGCTAACCAAATGCGAAATTCTATAGATTTTATATTCTATCAATGGAAACAACCACTTATTTTATTTTTGAGAATATACCACTTATTTATTTTTGAAAAATATAGTATATATATAATTATATATATATAGTGAACTAACTAAAAGCTTAATATAACTAAAAAGCTTATACTACATTCTCTCAGTTGTTGAACTAGGTAGATTATAGAAAGGCAACAACAACTTCAACTTTATATATACTACTAAAACCCTATAAATATATATATGGCTCCTATCACCACCCTCTTCTTCTTCCTACTCTCTTCTTTTGATCTTCTCACCAACCCTCAATTCTTAGCATTCCATTCTTTAACTTATCAAGAACCTTCATTAAGATATGGTTTTGCTCTCATGGATTTTCTGAGCTTCCAATGATCATCTCTGCTAATTGTAAGCCTTTTCACTTGGGAACAATCTATTGGTGCTTTTTTCTTTTTCTCTTGTTTATATCTTCTCTTTGTTTATTGAAGTTACAATGAGCAAATCTTGTTATACGAACGGCTTTGTTTAGATCACTATTTTTGAATAATTTAATTTTTATATTCCATTTTTGTTTGCATTCTGTCATCATCTTTATATATATATATATATATATATATTATATAATAATATATATATTAATATATTCATATATATTCATATGTTTGTGGAACTTTCAAGTTTGTCTTTTGTTCTTCGTGATTTATAATACTGTTTTAAAATATGAAATTAGAAATCAATGAATTTATCAACAATATTATTCCATTCCACAGTATTCTCATATCATTTTTCTAATAATTTGGTTAAAAATAAATCATTTTTAATAATCACTTAAACTATTAAAAAAGGGCAATCATTAGTAGAGGCTAAAGATTTGTTTTGCTTAATTATTAATTAAAGTTGAAAATTTCTAGCCGTTGTTGATAGTTAATAATTAATGCTGGGTTGCAATTACATAATATATAAATAAATATATAATATGATATATTATATATATTATTATTATAATATTAAATATATATATATATATAGTTTAGTAATTCATGTTTACAAATAATATTGCAAGTTGGAGACATTAATTGTTATTAAGGACAAATTTTACTCCTTACAATATGAGACTTTGAATTATTTTTTTTTTAATTTTAACTTATTATTTTTTTTTATTTTAACTTATTATTTAAAGAAAATAAAAAGCATAAGAATATTATGATTTATATATATTATTTTATTATTATTTTTGGCTTATAATACTATAATTTTTCTAGCATGAATCCAAATATATAATAACTATTTATTAGTTTTGCTAATAATTTATAATCATATAAAAAGTTAACTTATTTACTTTAAAATTTTTATATACTTAAGTTATTAAATATAATAATTTTAATAAGAAAAATATGTAGCTCCATAGAAGTAATAATGTCTGCAAGAAAACAAATACAGAGTTTACTTAAAATTTTATATATTAAATAATTAGTATTATAATTTTAATAAAAAAAAATATGCAGTTCCACGGAAGTAATAAATAATAATGGGCACAAGAAAACAAATACAGGACGAAATTGATAATTTTCATTCGAAATTAAGGAAGAATGTAAAATAGCTGCAAGAAAGAAAAAATTTGGACCATTTCTCGATTTATGCGTGTCATCCTTGCGCAGGGGCCATGCTAATCTTCTCTGTATCGTTCCAATTTTATCGGATGTCCCCGAAGGGACAGTTGCAGCATCTCACACTTGAACTTATAAATGTTTCCTTTCTGAAATATTTAAGCAATGTGGGATTCGTTCAATTCTAACGAGTTGGTTGTTTAAGTCAACTTGATATGACGCTACACGTGGGCCCTGTACTTTTAACGTGTCTTAAAGAAGGGTCAGTGATCCATTGCTCGCTCCTCTTTGGATGTGCGACAGCTGTCTCTAACTTCATCTAATTGCGTGTTTTGCGAAGCTACAGTTCATTTTCTTCTCCATTATAATTCTCACTTTTCGTGGGCCACGTTTTGGGCTTACAAGTTCTATGCTGTAGCCCAATAAACAATTTTGCAAGTACAAAGATAGCTAATTAGTTGTTTTTTTTTTCTAAATTTAATTATTCGTGTAGTTATCATGTCAATTTAATAATGATATTGAAATATTTGTGTGATTTCACGGATTAATTACTTAATTTTTAATTCTCCATATTAATTGAGAATTAAAAAGAAGCGCTGACACCTTTATAAATATAAAAGTTTGGTTTTCTTTTTCTATATAGAAAAAATCTTCACTCTAATAAAAAAATAAAAATTCCTTTAAAAAAAAAAAAAAAAAGTAATCAATAAGGTGTGACTTTGTAATTTTAGTTTTCTATTATTACATCAAATATCATTTACGGGCCAATTTTTCCAATCACTGACACGTTGTCGTTGAGGTTATCCACCCTTGGTTTCGTAAATTTCGTTTTGGGTCTTTCTTGCGAGAAATATACCTTGGTTTCGTAAATTTCGTTTTGGGTCTTTCTTGCGAGAAATATAGTTGACAGACAAATTAAACACTCCAGCTAAAGCAACTACATAAAAATTCTGAAAGAAAACACTTCGCAATCCAAGAGAGATATGCATCTATGGCCCTCAATGAGAATAAGAGACTCTTTCAAGATCGGATATCTGAAAAAACTGGAATGGAACCTCCAGAGGATGAACAGCGAGAAGAAGCGGTCTCAACAAAGCAGTAGCAACCAAGAGAAACTCTTAGACGATGATACTGTTGAAAAAGTAAACGGTGTCGTTGATGGAAGAGTTTCAGAAGATACATCCCTTTCAAAGAATTCTTGTTTAGTGAAATCTGCTTTGGTTTGCAGAGAAGTTCTCATGGTTCTCACTTGCTGCTACTGTTGTTTCTGCTGTGGAGGTAAGTTGATTTCTTTGCTTCCCTTTTAATTTTTCGTTGCATTTTTATTTGTTTGTTTATGAATTTGTGTTGGAATCGTTGCTCATTGATGTGGGTTTTATTTTATACGTTGAGTTTGTATATGTTGATTTTCTGGATTTGGGTTGAGAAAATTCTACGTGGTATTTGCTTGATGGGTCTGTATTATGATTAATTTGGCTTCTAATGTATTTATTTCTTGAATTCTATTTGAATTCAATCGATGACTTACATTATACGACTTTGTACGTCTGTTTCCGTTTTAGGAATAGAATCTTTGGGTTAATTGATGAATTAGAGGAAGTTTGGCTGTGACTTTGAAGGGAATTAATGTTGATAGTTCGAGCTTAACAAATGGTATCATTTTGTTGTCTTTTGAGTGGGAAGAAAAATTTTCATAAGATGAGCCTTGTGGCCTTCAACTGGGAGTTTTTTGGAATATAATTTGTAACAAAAAGGACGGTAAGGTATTAGTTGCTTCTTCTCTCTGCAATGTCTTCCTACTCTTTGCGTCCTTTTTATTGTGCATTCATATGCTACTATAAACTCAAGGGAGATTAGGATCATATTAGTAAGTGCATTCATTTCCTAGTAGTCCTCTGAGCAAATAAAAAATGTTGAGCAAATAAAAAAGTGTGGGAGATGAGAGAGGGGATCTAAGGCTTCATTTAGCATTTCTATTACCATCAGCTTTCTTCAATATTTTTCCACGGAAGGGAGGTAGAAATGCCTTTTGATATACTTTGGAAACGGAAGGGGAGGTAGAAATGCCTTTTGATATACTTTGGAAAAGCGAGAATGATATTGCTAAAAGCTAGTCAAACCTACCTGTCAATGGGAAAAGCATTTTGCAAATTCAGGTTTATTTGCCAGACATGCTTTCCTATCACAATAAGATTAGATTGTTAGGTGGTCCTTGCTTTCTAAAATTGGACTAGAGGTCAAACCGGTCCATGGCCGTTCTACAATTAGATTGAATGAAACAGAGGTGCTTCGTTGCATTTCTTTTGACATCACATGAGTGGAGGGGGGCATTGAGAAGATTATCCTGAAATCAAAATAAATTGGTCGATATAGAGAAGTCCTTATTTATTTTTATATAGTTATGGGTAAAATGGCTAGAATGCTACATGCTGGTGTGAGCACAGGTATTGAGTGCATAACTGTATAAAATGCTAAGATGAATATTGGCAACACAAGGTGGATGGGATAAGAAACGAGTGCATGTGTGTGAAGATCACAAGTAGAATAGCTATCAAGATGGGATAATGGAGATGAGTGATTGCATACAAATATCAAGGTTGAAGAAAAGGTAAGATAGACAAAAAGTGACACAAACAGAAGCGATTAGAAGAGAAGAAGTGTCTACTTAGATGACCTCAACTAACTTGGAACTGAAATTTAATTGGGTCGAGTGACTTGCATGATTATTTTGAGTAACATGTAATGCTGCTGTACTATTTATTTAGGCAATGTTAGGAGGGACTTGTAGATATGGAATGAATGAGAGTCGAGTATATAACCAAGCCTTGACTGGTGCTCTTAGATCAGCATCCCGATTAATTATGATGTTCCTGTTGGAATTTTGAAATTTTGTGTTATTGGAAATGAGTGATGTTACGAACCAATTGTCTTTGACTTGCCAAAATGCAAGTGTAGAAATTAATTATCTGTATTAACTTGGCTTTACTTTTGGTCTCTGTTTGTTTTCTAAGACACTGTTTGGTTTAGAGGTTCATTTGGATTTTGATATCAGGAGAAATATAATATTATGGTGAATGCTGTCTTTTAAGCAATCAGATTTAGAGTGTAATTTATATTCAATTATCGCATTACAAGTTATGAGGGTGTCTACCACCTTCCTAGAAAAACTCAAGAATTCTTGTGGCATTAGCATTAGGTGACGGTTGAGAATTAGAAGCAAAAGCAGTGATACAATGTGTGAACCATAGCGATTTATTTCTTTAAATTCTCATTTTGGTCTGCCATAATTTGGTTTCTGACAGTATATGTGGATAAAATAATTTGGACTGAGTGTTAAGGATTACTTATTGAGCAAGTTGTTTCAAGAATCAAAGTTCTGCTGGAGGGTAATGAGCTGAATAAATTAAAATAGACATTAATGGATAAAAATCTACTACTTCCTATAATTCTCAACTGCCTTTATAGTTCATACATTTTTTTTTTGCCACTTCTTAAAAACTCATCCAAAATCCCCCATATCTCTCTCCTCTTCCGCACCTCCTATATTGTGCCAGTGATTTAATCAAATACCTAGAAAGCATGAGCACAGAAAAACGGAATTCCAGCAGATATGCAAGTATCCCTTCATAAATTACCTCTTAAAACTAATGAGATTGTGCTTACCAATGTTCGAGCTTAACTTATCTAATGACTTCACTGGTCATCTCTACATCAAGCACATGATAGGACAACTATTTGATTCAATTATTTGTTTCTGACATGTATTTGCTGGATTTCTGCTTTTATGGGTACACAAGCATTCTCACATTACTTGACAATTCAGCACTAATGATTTGAATTGGATAGGATCAGAACTTTATGAAAAGGGGGAAAAGTTTTAGTGTTGGAAGGGGCATATAATTTGTGATATGACAGCAATAGATAATCACAAGCTCTCTCCCAATGAATAAAAGCTCTAAACTCTTAGCCGATGATATCTCCACAGATCATTCCTCTGATTTAGGAACAGATTACAATTAATTTCCTGTAATTAATCTCTGTAATTCCTTTCCATATTCTGTTTGTATTCTCCCTATTTAAAGGGCCTTATACATCAATACAAATCATCAAGAAAAAAGGTCTTGGACATCAATACAAAATCATCAAGAATTCAAAATCCTCAAACACTTTCATGGTATCAGAGCTTCAGTTCTGAATTCCCTCCCTCTCCTTTCTCTCCCATATTTTTTTTTAGCTGCTGCCGCCGATAGCCATGACACAAACAGAAGTCCCATCTTCGACCTCCAACCCTAAAACACCCACCCCCATTCACCCTGCCTACTCCTAAGATGGTAGCACCAGTTTACATTACACATTCATGGGTGAAATTATTCAAGTTTCATTCTATTGCATACCGCTGTTCTTGATTCACATTGATTGGACACGCCACCCCCAGCCTCTACAGATCCATCATACATGTTGCTTGGAAAGAAATAGATGCCTTGGTTGTCTCAATGGATTACAGTACGCCGGTGTCTGATGAAACTGCTCACCCGCATCCTCGACCTGAAGCTACGGCTAAGGAAAAACATGGCTGACAAACTTGAGAAAAATCTTTCCTTTAGCAACAGAAAGCAAAGCGGCAAGCTCTTGAAACAAGAATTCGTTAATCTTCACCCTTGCAAGCCTGCAGTTCCGTTGATGATTACTGCAAGAAATTGAAAGACATCGCCGACCAACCTGAACGATGTTGACCAACCAGTTACAGAATCCCGAATTTTTGGTCTTACAACTGGTTCGTGGCCTTCCTTCAAGAATTCGACGCCATAGCTTCTTCTTATTAAAAACTCACAAAACGCAAGACTGGGACCTTGCACGAACCATGTTGAATATGAGGTCATTCGCCAGGCTGCACGACAACAAACCACCTCTGTCCTTGTCGCTCCAACCACGCAACAACCAAACCCAGCGGCCACAACTCAACACCTGAAAACAATTTCAGCCTCACAAACATTTCTTACCCACTCCAATTATAGGAGGCCATTGGTCGAGGCGACTGCTGGCAGAGGCAGAGGACGCGGGCCTACAGGGGAAACTCTCCGGACTCCTTGGGCTATTAACCATTCATCCGCCAATCAAACCTACCCAAAATGGGCTTTGGTGGAACACTCCACCTTGTCCCTACCCAACACAAACTCCCATGGCCACCAATTCATATTCACAAACACCCCAAATTGCCCATTATGCCCGCTTAGTTTCAGAACAGCAGCCATTACGGCCCAGCACCACCATATCCCCCTCCCACCGCAACTGGATATGATGCTTTAAGTCCTTCGAGTGCTCAGCCAGCTATAAATCCACGATGCACCTGCAACTACACAAATTCCAAATCTGATCATGGATACAGGGGCAGAACGTCAATGTCACCGACAACCGATGGATGAATTCGCAAACCCTGACTCTTTTCCTAGTTAACACTAAACTTTTTAGTCGGCAACGGACACTAATTACCAATTGAGGGCTCCAGAAACAGGTTACCTTTTCCCATCTTTAACCGTACATACATCTCCCCAAACATAACTTTACAAGTCCCACGATCATTAAAAATTTATTATCTGTCCCCGTTCTACACGTTATAACAATATTCTCTGTTGAATTTGGACCCTTTTTGGTTTCTCTTTGAAGGACCTCAAAACAGGACAGCTCCTTTTCCCGCCACAATAGTACCGAGATCTCTATTCCTGGTCACTCCACCAAACCCTACACCACAAGCTTTGTTCAATCACATCTCCCAATTTTACCTTGGCACGATTCGCTCGGTCACCCCTGGCACACAAGTTTTAGATGTTTTAACAAACAGTTTGGTCTTCCTTGTAATAAGAACAAGCAATTTTATTTTTTTGCAAATTCTTGTCATTTATCGTAATAGCAAAAAACGATTACCTTTTTATGAGCAAATTCCTTTACTTTTCACCATTTTGATATAATACACTGTGGACTTGTGGGACCTTCCCCTATTCCAACCCAAATTGAAAAATACTACATGGTGCTAATTGATAATTTTTCCAATTATTTTTCCAATTATGTGTGGGTATACCCTCTCAAGTTCAAATCTGAAACTTTCACCACCTTTACTAAATTCCATAAACTCATAGCCACCCAATTCAACCGCAATATCAAAACTTTTCAATGTTGGGGGGAGAATTTGACAACCATAACTTCAAAATTTTTGCCCAACAACATGGTCTGTTATTCCGTTTTTCATGCCCCCAAACATCTTCCCAAAATGGTCGGGCTGAACGCATGATTCGTCGTCTCAACGACATCATCCGCTCATTCCTCATCCATGCTGAATTACCACCTATGTTTTGGGTCGAAGCACTTCACACTGCTGCCTATCTCCATAACATCTTTCCAACCAAACGTCTCAATTATTTCACACCCACTTTTGCCTTATATCTCCGCCACCCGACATACGATCACTTACGTGTGTTCGGGTGTGCTTGTTATCCCAATTTATCCCAATACCTCTGCAACCCAACCCCACAAATTACACCCAAGATCCGTTAGATGCATCTTCCTTGGATACCCTCCAGATTTTAGGGGATACCGATGCTTTGACCCTACAACCGGGAAGATCCACATATCACGACATGTAACCTTTGATAAACAAATTTTCCCATACACCATTCCAACTCCACCCAAAACATACACATTTCTTGATGAACAACCACCACCAGGATTTAAGTTTATACAACCTCACCCAACACCAAACACCACCCAAACCCAAAAACGCCCAATCTCTCCTTACCCCATAATATACACTCGCCGCCATAAACAACAGCCCCTTAACCCAGTACACACTGCTGCACCTGTCTCACAAAATCCCAACACTCAGACCACCGCTGTATCAAAACCCGCACAGAATACTCATCAAATGACCACCCGCTCCAAAGCGCGCCATGCCCTTATGACCACCTCAATTTCACCAATACCCACCTCTTATGCAAAAGCTTTTTCTGACCCTCATTGGTTAAGTGCTATGCAGGCTGAGTTTCGTGCTTTGCAGGAAAATGATACATGAGAACTCGTGCCTCGCCCTCCTGACCGACCGGTCATTCGGTGTATGTGGCTTTTTCGTCACAAATTTAAATCAGATGGGTCACTTCAAAGGTACAAAGCACAAAGCACGTTGGTGGTAAACTGGCAAATTCTTCAAACGGTTGGGCCTCAAATCTGACTTGACGATATTTCTAGTCCGTAGTGAAACACGCTACCTACTACGGATCGTGTTTATCATTGCAGTTTCCCGTTCTTGGCCAATACACAGTTGGATGTAAAAACGCGTTTTTTAACATGGGCATTTAAATGCACACTGTTTCTTATGCAATCAACCCCGGGTTTTCACGATAGAAGAATACCCTCCATTTTGTGATGCAGATTGACAAAAATCCACTTTACATGGGCTTCAAACAGGCTCCACGGGCCATGGGTACACACCCCCAATTTTGCCAGCCCATCCTGCTGTCTCATGGGTTTCCCGCAGCCCGTGTCGTGTGACAATTCTATTAATCCTTTCCTCAAAGGGAAATCAGCTTCGGGCTTATTTTACTTCTGTATGTTGATGATATAGTGCTCACTGCCTCTTCTAAATGAGTCTATTCGCCAGAATATTATCCGCATGCTCTCCACGAGACGTTCTGCAATGAACAGATTTGGGCCGGGTGCACCTCATTTCCTGGGAATCAAAGTGACCACCGGAATCTGGTGGGCTTATTTTTGGATCAGTCTCAATACACAAGAGGATCATCATCTCAAGAGCTTCAATGTCTCCTGCAAACAGTGTGCCACCAGCTGCATCTTCTACTCAATAAAACTGAGTTTAGTTTGATGGACCTCTCTTCCATGATCCACATATCCCGCACGTTCCTTGTCTGGCGCATTAAACAGTATCTCAATTCCAACCACGCCCAGATACTATCATATGCTGTTCAACAAATGATGCCTCCTTCCATGCATGAACCCGCGGGATAACACTATCGCCTTTCTCAACAAGAATACTCCGATATTTACAAGGCAACGTTGCTACGGTATCCAGAATTGGCAAGACAATATACACCATACCCTTTGGTAGATACTCAGAACGCAGATCTGGGGGGATGCCAGACTCCAAGAAGATGCAACTAGTGAGCTACTGTGTTTTCTTGTGATAACTTTGAGTTTCATGGCTCTTCCAAAAAACGGCAGCCTCACTATCTCACGGTCTAAGTGAGAGGCAGAAAATATAGAGGAGTAAGCCAATCGCCTCGTTGCACGCAGACCACCTGGCTTGCAATCTTACTCTCTGGAATTAACACTCTACTTCAGCAGGCTCCTGTCGTATATTTGTGACAACCTGTTTCCGCACGTGTATACTGTGCTGACATCCTGTCAGCATCAAACGCACAAACACATTGAGATCGACATACACTATTTGTACGCGGAGAAAAATTCGAATAGGCCTAACACTTCGGTCTCACATGTCCATCCTGCTTTTCAACTATGCTGAACTCTTCACCAAAGGCCTATCTGACCAGCTTTGTTCCAGTCATTTGATCCAGCTTGAGCGTCTGTCCTCGCCAGCCTCAACCTGCGGGGGAGTCTCTAGCCGCATGATAATCCTCAACAGCATCATCCTCTGATTTAGGAACACGAATTCAATTAATTTCCCTAGTAATTACTCTCGTAAATCTCCTCTTCCATATTCCTGTTTGTATTTCCACTATTTACCACGGGGCATTATACATGCAATACGTAATTCCTTTCCATATTCTGTTTGTATTCTCCCTATTTAAAGGGCCTTATACATCAATACAAATCATCAAGAATTCCAAATCCTCAAACACTTTCATAAACGAGGTTTTTCTTTTTCTTTTTTACTTTCTAATTTTATTTTTTTTTTTGAAATTTGTTTCTACTTTGTATTCCTTTATTTTTTTTCTTCTGAGTTCTGAATTTGTGGTGCTGTATTGAAATTGACCATAATTCATATTTTGTGGGTTTGGGGGAAGGTATAAGGTAAGATGAGGATGGAATTGTTTTGTTGGAAATGTCTATTTTAATGTCGGAGGTAGGGCTAACAAACGAGCTGAGCTGACTCTGTTGAGGTCGATTTGAGCTTGAAAAACCAAACTCATGCTCAGTTCATTCGTAGTTTATAATTTTTTTTTTTTTTTTTTAAATTGCCTCGTTACAAGCTTGAACTCGAGTATGAGTTTAGCTTGTTTATTAAACGAGCTAGATAAGCAAGCTCGAGTTTGGCTGGTTAAGCTTATCGAACAAATGCGGTCTAATGAGGCTACTATGAGCAGTTCATTAGCCACTTGGCTCACTTTCAAGCCTTGTTGGTGGTCGAAAATGGGTCCTGTTTTGGAAGTTTGCTTGAGTGGATATGTCTGTTGGAGCAATATTCTCTCTTCAGAACAAGAATCCTTCAATAGCTGGTTATATTGGCTGGTCTAAAGGGATGATAAGGAAGCCACATTTGTGAGGTCTGCCAATCATTGAGAGAATGACCTCTATGATGAACTTTTTGGTTAGGCTTATAGAGCAAGAGTGGGTGAAGATTCATAAGGCTGGCATCATTTTCTATGAATTAGAAGCTTGAAATTAAAATCTAAATGCTAAATTACAGGGCTAGGTTCAGGTGAAGATAGATTTTTGATACAAGGACTGTCACATAAACTGGGTTTTCTTTCTTTGGATGCCTTCATATCAAAGGATACCAAAGTTGAAGTAAGAGATCATTTGTACTTGTAAATGCTAATTTGATGGTCATCTATATGGTATATGTGAGTATCAGCACCATTGTGCCTAATATGGATGCTTGAATGGAGAGCTACACCCATGCCTTTATGGGATATATACAGGCCTCCTAAGACACATGTTTATTAAAACGGAAGGGGGTCATCTGTCCATCTTTTTCGTCCCTTTTTCTATTTTCTGTTAAATTCTGGAATTCACTTCTCATTTCTACTTACCTCTTCTTAATTTTCCTTTTTTACATGTAGGGAAAACTACAATTGTTTTTGTTAGGACAATAATCATTCTTGCTATTGTTCCCAAAGAAAGCATGATTTAATGCATAAATGAGGTTTTACTTCTCATTAAGGCAAATAATCTGTCATCAAATGATTCATTGATTTACTTTTCATATACTTTGCATGCTAAAATTTCTGATATCCTATTACTTGATTGCAAGAAATCATTAACTGGCATAATTGTTTTTTTTTTTTTTTTCCTTTCAGCATGTGTTGATGAAGATGAAGATTGATGCTTTGTTTGGCAGATCATTTTGGTGACTGAAGATTTCCCTGTACTGTTAAAATTATAGAAGATGAAAATTAGGAGAAAAGTTTCTGTACAGTTTTGCTATATATTTGGTGATGTATCATTTCACCAAATTGTTACACTGCTAAGCCTTAGAGTGTAACTGCATTTTCTCCTCAAATAAGAAAAAGGAAAAAAAAAAAAGAGTGTAACTGTATTTAATCCTTAGATGAAACTGATATAGATTTGTTACCAAATGTTTTGTGTTTGTTTATGAGCATGGAAAATGCCAAGTGTTTGTTGCTTGTGATTATGGTTTTTGGATTATTTGCACACAACTCACATGGTGAATGGTCAACAGTTGTCCTCTTCATCCTATCAACAAATATTATCTCTAATTTTTCTTTCAATGTTATTTGCACACAACTCAGCCATGGCTGATGGTCAACAGTTCTGCTACTCTTCACATCTATAAACAAATATTATCTCTAATTTTTCTTTTCAAATATATATATCATATATATATTATATAATATATATATATCTATTAAAGCATCATTCAAAAGCCTTAAAACGGTAAGCATTTCAAAAGTTAAAACGGCCAAATACTAAAAGTAAAAAGTTATAGATAATTTAGACACCAATAAAGTAATTAATAATGTTATTAATGTAATGGGTGTTTTATAAAATTTATAAGATGAACACTAATTTTATATTATTCCTCATTAATTAATTCATTTTATTATTGTCAATATATTAATTATGAATTAAAATACTATATATTTTCTCTGTTGACAATTATAAATCGTTTTAAATTTTTTTTCTTGTAGATTAAAGAATCAATTAATTATCTTAAATCATTTAATTCTTGGAGTACTATTAATTAGACTAAATTTTTCTTTATCTCAAATTATTAATTTAATTAAATGGAGTTTGAATTAATATATTTAATATATATACAATTTTTGTTCTATAATACTTATCATATTTAAAATTTTATGTTTTTTTTTTAATTATTAAATTTATTTAAGTTATGATAAAGAGTTCTATAATACTTATCATATTTAAAATTTTATGTTTTTTTTTTAATTATTAAATTTATTTAAGTTATGATAAATTATAGAGTAAATTGACTATATTACCTTAATTTAATATCAGTTTTTTAAGAAAATAATTAAATTAAATTTAATAATATTTAGTCATATACAAAGAGTAAATATAAAAAAAAAAATTTATTACTTTTTTAAATTACAAACATGAATTACTCATTTGAGCTAATATATTTATACTTCTTTATTCGGAAATTGCACATTATTAATTTACTGATTAGTGTCTGAATTATTATAACTTTTCCTTCATTCATACGTGCTCCCAAAATCAATGAATTAAGTACTCAACCACCAACCATCAACTACCTTCAAATACGCACACAGATACTCCTTCCCCATCTCTCTCCATTTTGCCTCTCCTCGTATCCTCCGCACGGCGCACTTTAGCCTTAACAAACCAACAGAAATGGCAGTGCGCCACCCAGTAGCGGAAGCCAACGAAGAAAGCCCGTTCGGAACACTCTCGCCAGCGGAATTCTACTCCCGCCATCGCGTTACTCACTCCTCTGAGTACATAACCAACTCGCGCGGTCTAAAGCTCTTCACTCAGTGGTGGACCCCCCTCCCGCCAACAGAAATCATTGGCTGTGTAGCCATGGTCCATGGTTACACTGGCGAGTCTAGCTGGTTTGTGCAATTGACTTCTATTCTGTTTGCTCAATCTGGTTTCGCTGTTTGTGCTATTGATCATCAAGGCCATGGTTTCTCTGATGGCCTTGATGGTCTGATCTACCATATCCCCGATCTTAATCCCGTCGTCGATGACTGTATCCAGTTCTTTAATCGCTTTCGGGAAACTCATGCTCCGAACTTACCTGCGTTTCTGTACGCGGAGTCTTTAGGTGGAGCTATAGCTTTATACATCACGCTCCGGCAGAAAGGCAAGTGGGATGGGCTGATTTTGAATGGTGCAATGTGCGGTATTAGCGATAAGTTCAAGCCTCCGTGGCCTTTGGAGCATCTGCTTTTCATAGTCGCGGCGGTTATGCCTACTTGGCGCGTGGTTCCAACTCGCGGATCGTTACCTGATTTATCTTTTAAGGAGGAGTGGAAACGGAAGTTAGCGGTATCGAGTCCGAGGAGGATAGTTGCGAGGCCTCGCGCCGCAACGGCTCTTGAGCTGCTGAGGGTGTGCAGAGACCTGCAAGGGAAGTTTGAGGAGGTGGAAGTGCCGTTGTTGATTGCACATGGCGGTGATGATTTGGTATGCGACCCTGCGTGCGTGGAAGAGCTGCACCGACGCGCCACCAGTAGAGATAAAACGTTGAAAATTTACCCCGGAATGTGGCACCAGATTGTTGGCGAGCCGGAAGAGAATGTGAATTTGGTGTTTGGGGATATGATGGAGTGGCTAAAAAGCCGAGCTGAACGTGCAAGGAAGGGTGGGGATGTTATACTTGCTGCTGCGGAAGGTGGTGGCGCGTGATTGTTGTGGTTTTAGTAAGGTTAGACTTAATGTTTTAAATGTATGCGTTGGGTAGCAACATTATGGTAGCCACAAAAGGGAAGGTAAGTCACGGAATAGAAGTTTAAATGATGAAATTTAAAAATAAAATAATAAATAAAAAAGGAAAGTAGTTGTATTCTCCTTATTTGTAGATTGATGAAAGAATATAATTTCTGATCAAAACAACTAATCGCTTTCTCCAAATCCATTTATGTTTCTAATTAACCATTGGAGTTTATTGCAATTAACGGCTGTAATTGTCCAATTAGTGTGGAGTTCCTGTTTTCTTCATTTTAGGGAAAATGGGAATTGGGTTAATACACGAAAGGCAAGAAATGTGAGTAGAAAGAAACATATTTGCATTTTGGGCAAAAATATAATCTTCTTACGCATTGCTTTGTAGATTATTCTTGGATGATGTTTGGTTGGACTTGCGGGCAGGAAGTCTAATCTCTTGAAAAGTACATAAAGTGTTTGTGTTTGGTTTGTATTATCAATTATATTTTCCAGAAAATAGATTAGCTAACTTTCTTATCTTATAAGGGAGTAAGTTCCTTAAAATATATAAGAAAGTTATACTTCTCTAGTTAAGTGTAATAAATTTACTAAGTTATCATATTATCTAAGTACCAGCGTATGCTCAATTTAGTATAAATAGGGATTCAAAAATTGGAATTGATTTGTAGATAATATCATTGTGGGTTACACAGTAAGGGCAACCCTCCCCTTTGAATAACATTGAGGACTTGAACTGAAGATTTCTCATTTTCTGCATTTTCTATGAGAGGTAAGAAGACCAATCAGACTACATCTGATTGACATTTGTAGATAAATTTTTTATATTTAGAATAAATAGAAAATTTATTTACTTTTATTTTCTAAAATACAATTGGGCATAATAATTTTAAAACACTAAAAGGATGGTTAGTTTTTTCGTAAACTTTTGGATTATTTAAGTTTGTAAAATTAATTTGAAAATTTCATCTTTTTTGGTAGAATTTGGTTTATTTATAATTTAAATAGAATTTAATTTAGTGTCATAACATTTATAATTCATTTGAAAACACATAATTGTATTCATAGAATTTAATCCTTTATTATTTTTTTTACACTAAACACAAACATTTAACTTTATAAATGAATTCTGCAAAATTTTTTGAAACTCATTTATTCCAAATAAGTATTTCAATTTATATTATAGATATTCTTGTATTTTGTAATTCCAGAATAATTTACTTTAAAAAAATTGATTTGCATACTGAATATATTCAAATTATACTTCGCGGGAAATATACTCCCTGTGAAATAGGCAATTTTGAATCAAATGAGGGCTAACGTAATTGCTTTTGTTTATATTATACATTAAGGAAACATGAAGAAAAAATGAAAAAGGGAAGTTAATCCTTGAGGATTGATAAAATTAACTACATCATGCCGTTTAGTCAAATAATTATAACATTTTTAGGTTTGTTTTCGTCAAACTCTTTAATCATGTAAAAAAAGTGTTTTACACTGTGTTAATTGCATTTAGTTTAACATTAGAAAAATAGTTGAGCAGATTTTAAATAATTGAATGGAATTGATTTAAATTTCAATTTAATATAGTATCTAATTATTATACGCTAAAAATAGTTGAGCAGTATGATAGAATTGAAGTGATTAATTATAAAGTCTAAGAGTACAACTTATATAGATACAGAGTCCTAAACTAAGTATACAGAAGTGATAAAAATAGACCTAAACAGAAAGATAACAACAGATACAATTATTAGAAAACAGTTACAAGGAAGACTTATCTCAGACCTAAACAGAAAGATAACAACAGATACAATTATTAGAAAACAGTTACAAGGAAGACTTATCTCCTTTATCCTCTATACGCCCCCGCAAGATGGAGGTTCCATCGGAAACTCCAATCCTGGATCGAAAATGTAAGAATGGGTGTTTGCAGAGTGCTTTTGTTAACATATCAGCAATTTGACTTTTCGAGCTGATATGCAAAACTTGTAGAAGACCAGTTGTAACTCTCTCACGAACAAAATGGTAATCCAATGCCAAATGTTTCATTCTTGTATGATAGATTGGATTAGCACAGAAGTAAGTTGCTCCAGTATTGTCACAAAGAATAGTTGGTGTGCCTTTTAGCTTTTGTCCTAACTCTGTCATTAAATTCTGCACCCAAACAACTTCAGCAGCCGCATTGGCTAAGGCCTTGTATTCTGCCTCTGTCGACGAACGGGATACCTTCTGGCGTGCAGACCTCCAAGAAATAACATTGGAGCCAAGATATAAAACATAAGCTGTGGTTGATCGACCTTGATCTAGTTGTCCACCCCAATCAGAGTCAGAGAAAGCCTTTAAAGAGAAGTCAGAATTGCGATTAAGAGTCAGACCATGATAAATTGTGCCCTTCAAATACCGCAATACATGTTTCAAACCTTGAAGATGTACATGGGTCGGCTTATGCATAAATTGGGATAATTTGTTGACAGCGAAGGAAACATCCGGGCGCGTCATAGCCAAATATTGCAGCGATCCAACCATTTGCCGGTAAAGTGTCGCATCGGCAAGTGTCGCATTCGGCATAAGAAGAATCCATCGTTGAGAACAAATTTTTTCTGAAACAGACATATGGAGTGACGGGCATCTTTAGCCAAACCAGCCCCAGCCATATCAAATTTGTGAAGTAGGTCTGCAATATATCGATGCTGGGATAAAAATAACCCAGTGGCAGTAGGTATGACCTCTATGCCCAAAAAGTGATGCAACATGCCCAAGTCTTTAATGGAGAAACGAGCCGCTAGCTTCGCAACACAAATATCCAGAAATTTGTTATTATTCCTTGTAAGCACAATATCGTCAACATAAATCAAAAAGTATGCTGTAACTCCATTTTTGGCAAAGATAAATAAAGAGGCATCTGCGCTTGACTTCTTGAAACCCAATTGCATAAGAAAGGTAGTCAATTCAATGTACCAAGCTCTTGGCGCTTGCTTTAAGCCATAGAGAGACTTCGCCATAGAAGGAGACTTTCCGTAATTTGGCTAGACATATAAATCAAAAAACTCGTGAAATTAACATAACCCGGAAGGCTGCACCATATACACATCTTCATGAAGAGTACCATGCAAAAATGCATTATTCACGTCCAGCTGTCGCAAAGACCAGCCATTAGAGACAGCAATGCTCAACACTACCCGTATTGTGACTGGCTTAGTTACTAGATTGAATGTTTCAAAATAATCTCGGCCAGGTTGCTGCAAAAATCCTTTAGCCACTAATCGGGCTTTATATTTATCAATCGATCCATCCGGTTTCCGTTTAATATGGAAAACCCACTTCTTACACCCAATCGGAACTGCAGCTGTCCTTGGAACCAACTCCCAAGTTCCATTCTTCAAGAGAGCATTATATTCTAGATCCATCGCAGCCCGCCAATTATTATCCTTCAAAGCTTGCTGAACCGTTCGAGGTTCAAGAGAGAAAGGGAGAGGATACCTTGTAGTAACATTAACAAAAGAGGAATTAAAATACCTTGGGTTCTGTTTGCGAGCATGTTGAGTTCTCGGTGCAGCTGTAATAGTCTCTGGAGCCGGTATCACTGTTAAAGCCGTAGCATCAGTTTCAGGAGGTGGAGGAACAGAAGTAACAGGCACAGCTTCTTGAGTCGGAGCAGCTGTTACTTGCTCTGTAGCTAGCAATGGAGCATCACTTGATACTGAATCACAAGGGACAATTTCTGAACAAACTTGAACAGCAGGTGTAGCATTCACAGTACTAACCTGTTCCGAAACTGAGTCCACAGCCGGTGGCGAAACAAATGAGGGCAGAAGCATATGTACCGGAGCAGTGTCAACAATAGTTGAATGTTGCAACAAAGCACCTGCACAAGAAGCACCTCCACTAGAATTGAAAAATTGATGAGATTTATTGTACTCCTTGAAAGGAAAGACATGCTCAACAAACTTTAAATGACGAGAAAAGTACAATTTCTTAGTCGACATATCAAGACATTTATAGGCAGACTGTGAAGAAGAGTAACCAAGGAAGACACATGGAACAGAATGTGACTAGAGTTTAGATGTTGTGTATGGACGTAACCACGGATAACACAAGCAACCAAAAGGTTTGAACTTCCCAAAACTGTGAGAATGACCAAAAAGCTTGAAAAACGGTGTTTGAAACGAAATAACAGACGATGGCATCCGATTTATGAGATATACCGCAACCTGAAATGCATAAGTCCAATAGGTGTTAGGCAAAGAAGCATAATTAAGTAAGGATAAACCAGTCTCAACAATATGCCTATGTCGCCTTTCAGCAATACCATTATGTTCAGGCGTGTGAGGTGGTGAAGTATAATGAGAAATACCACAAGCTGCAAAATGCGATTTTAATTTGACATATTCCCCACCATTATCAGAAAAAACAGAAACAATTTTGGTATTGAAATAATTCTCAACTAGACGCTGAAAGTTAAGAAATAAATGATGCAAAATGCGATTTTAATTTGACATATTCCCCACCATTATCAGAAAAAACAGAAACAATTTTGGTATTAAAATAATTCTCAACTAGACGTTGAAAGGTAAGAAATAAATGATAAGTATCAGACTTTCTTTTCATCGGATATAACCAAACATATTTAGAAAAATGGTCAATAAATATAACATAGTATTGATACCCATCAATTGACATTTTTGTTGGTCCCCAAACATCACTATAAACAAGTTGGAACGGTTTGGAACTAGTCAAAGAATTCTCAAAAAAAGGAAGCTTATGGCTTTTACTCATAAAGCAGGAAATACAATGGAAATTGGAAACAGAACTGGACAAATACTCAAATCCAGATTGTTGGAGAACTAATCTAAATACTTTATTGGAAGGATGACCAAGCTTATGATGTAAAGAAGACAATGAAGACTCTTTTGTTGTAACATTCAGCTGAGGACGTTTGGAAAAGGTGGCACAATAAATATCATAAATGTTCTCTCCTCGTAGAAGCGGCGCCCCCGTGGACAGATCCTTCATAAGAAAATAAGTTGCAAAAAATTCAACAGAAACATTGTTAGTTCGACACAATTTAGCAATAGAAACCAAATTCCTTTTCAAATTAGGCACACATAATATATCTGGAAGAGATAAAATTTTGCTCGCAGTATTAACACTTGTAAAACTAGTGTGAGAAATAGAATGACTTTTAC